TTTTGCTTTTTGATCATTTTACAATAAGCAGTCACCGAGCTTTATGTGGCAGATATAAAATTTCACTTCACATAGGATGGAGACTGTAAACCCAATTTTATACAATAACACAATAAAATGAAAACAAATATTTTTATATTTTTATAAAATCAAGAGAATTTAAGTGAAAAATTAAAAATAAACAGCATAGTTTCATATGGATAACTCTATAGCAGTTATCTAAAATATACAAAAATTCTAATAACACACCCACATGCAGAATAAAACTGGAGGTACATCAATAAAGTTTGTAACCTAAGCATGAAAAATCAATTATTTTACAACAATCTTTTTCTTTGTTAATGTATTTAATTCAGTGACAAATATTAAATACATAAAGAAAACATTACAGTGAAAATTTCATTTCCAAATTCTGCTCATAGCTATATATCTGGATACAGACTTATTCTTATTTATCCATTTTCATGTGTATGTGTGTTTACACACACACACACATATATATATATATATATATATATATATAAGTAAATAAAATACAGAAAATTGCATCATGATATGTTTTATTCAGAAAGAATGTTTTCAGAGAAATTTTTTGAAAGAAATATGTCGTTTTGCATCTTGCCACTTATTTAGTAATACTCAGATATATATTTTTATATCGTATTTTTTATTATGTATAAATGCCTGCTTTTCTCATATTTTAAATAGTATACTATGCTCAAACGGGATATTTTAGAATTTAGTTCTGTGGTACACCATTGGATTATTAACAAACAAGATGAAGTGTCTATCCTGACAAGAGGGAACTAAATCTAACACAAGTGAGATGATGAATGTTTTTGCAAAGTCAGTGAAGGAGCTCTAAAAAGAATATAGAATAGAAATAAAATAAATAAAATATTAAACGTATGTTTTATCTCTATAGTAATCAAGTGTTGAAAATACTAAATTTTTATTTTTCTATGCAACCAACTTAATGTATATTAATATAAAAGGAAATCCACTAAATGCAGGTTAGAATTACCTAAATGCTTACTCTCACAGCTGGAACAGACAGACCTGGCTGATTATTTAAATTTTGATTCTTTTCCTACCCACTATTACTCTTGACCTCTTGCTTATTTTATTTTCCATTTTTTCTATCCTGTCTTTTTATTCCAACCTGTCCATTTATTCAAACCTAATCTTCCTCCATTTTTTGCTCAAAAAACAACTTAATTTTGAATGAATTTTCCAACTTCTCTTTTTATTCAATTATAGCCTTCTATTCCAGATTTAAAAATAATACCAGCTAAAATCTATCATATTTTTGTATGATACAGCCCGTTAGAGTGTACAACAAGTAAATGTATGCTTCTTTATTCTTTACACTCACTGCAAATTAATGACATAATAGTTTCCCTTTCTTAATATAGAAGGCAAGACAATTATTAATGATGACTGCTACAATTCAACTAACACTATTGTAACTTAGAACCCTAGGTTAACCTCTGACTGACCTTTACATATTTTCTAAGTTTATTCATGTGTTGTAAATTCTAATTATAAATAATATTGACTTCACTTGATGATCTTCATCTTCAGATCTTATATTCAACATGCAAACCACCATTGCCTGAGTGGACTCATTCTTTTGATTGTATTTGTTGTGTTTCATCAATATATCTTCAGGTATAAAAAAAAGAGTTTTTTTAGTTTTGTTTTTTTATAAAAAAAAAGTTGCTGGATAGAAACAAATGGTAATGAATTCTTATGGAGTGTAAACCTGAACAAGGTTGCAGGATGAATTAGTCAAAACAATGGAGTAACCACAAAAGCAACAAAGAGTTCAATAGTTTTAACAAAAACTTCTTAAAACTAAATTATGTAAATAATAGTTCTCAGGTCTGGTTCTTTTGTTTTATATGTAGAGATTCTTGACAAAACCGAAAGAAGAATCTGCAACAGTTTTGACCTGTCATTTCAGCTTCAGTCACTTTCCCAGTGCCATAATGTAGCTTCCATGTGCCTTTTCTATAAATATTTTCATGGTAATTGTTCTGATAAGCTTTTCTCTTTGGTACCTTGACTTCACAAATTTAAGCACAGTACTAGATTGTCAGTTGGGTCTCATCATTTTACTATTGAAATTGTGAGATGTAACCATTAATTCTATGCTCATAGTTTCTTATTGTACACTTCCCTCTTAAGGCGCTCTCTTCCAGCTTCTTGCTTTCTTGTCAACTACAATGTTCAAAAATTTAAATGCAATGTCAATTATCATCTTCTGTCTCCTTGAATTCTGTTCTTTTATTGTTCTGTTTCTTTCACTCTTAGTAACTCCTTGCATCCTACTTTTATACTTTTATTGCCTTGCTTGGGGCAAAATGACTAAAAACCCTGAAGATATGCAAATATTAATGTCATCATTTGTATAAGCTTATACATTAATACAAGGTTAATAAAGTAGACTGTTTCATCTCCATCCCTTTTAAAAAGTGTCCAAACTTTTATAAAAGGTAGCGCTGTGGCATCAAAGATGAGAGGCTGTGTATGACAAAGGGTTCAAATGTTGTTAATAATAATTTGTTATTTACAAAGGTTAAAATAATACAGAAAATAATAATCTTTATTTATGCAAGTTTTGATAATCACTTCAAGGTTAGTACATGGATTAATATAAAATCTAGAAAAATTAAACAAAATATTGCAAATATAGAGCTATATACATTATAGTGTTACAGCATATGCACCTATCAGAGTTTATTAGATCATTTAAAAGAGAAAAAGTTTAAATATAAAATCTTTTAAATATTTACTAAACTAGCACAAGGACACAAGTGTAGAGTTCCCAATAAGAGAGAGTAAGATTTAATAGTCTAAAATGGTATCCTACCAGCAAAGCCTGCACATCATAAAGTTCATTGGGGCATTTTAATCTGCCCTCCAAGAATATACAGTATCCTATGCATTCAAGTAATACTTACATCAATTAATAAAAAGAACAATTCTATCCATTTATTTCATTAACTGCACTAACCAGTATTACAAAACACATTGGTGAATGAAGAAAGAAAAAGAAAATTATGTTCATTGACTTATTTTCTAGTTGCGAATAAATTAGTAATAAACAAAAAGGAGCAAAATTTTGTCTTCAGAAATTTAATGGCACAAAGGCTATTTCACCTGTAGACACTTCTAGCACTTAGTAATAATATCAGTTACTGATCAATCCTTGCTAATGGACATGTCCTATCCTTTCATAAATATTCCCTAGTTTTAAAACAAAGATATTTTTGTATAGTTATGAAATATTTAGTCATATCTCTTGACATTACAATATATTAACTTTGTGGCCTCTGGTCTATAAACTGTTTAACACCCTTTTAAGTGATTAAACATCTACTATTTACAAAAAAGCAAAATTTGATATTCAATCAACGAAAAGTGCACAGAATTATGAAAAACCAATTTATGAGGGGAAAAGGAATTATCCCTAAATTATTTTTTGTATCAGCGCCGTACAAATCTAAATAAATAAATGAGAATGCCAGTGTGTCAAACTTTTTCAACTTTACTCCTATTGGCTGTAGCCCAACATATCATACCATTTTGGAATCAGGTTGAATCTGAGCAAATTAAAAACATTCTTGGCCGGATCCAAACCTACATTCCTGAAATTTTGGATTACCAAGTTTTCATTATTGTGATTGTTTTCGGCAATGTTTTTACATGATTTTTTTGCAACAAATTTTTTGGTACAATAACAATTATTATAACTTGGAAATAAATTTGGGAATAGCTGAAATTAATTGCAAAATCCAGCAAAAGTCACACATGAAATGAAAATAATTGCTTGCACAGAAAGTAAGGACCTACGTACATCAAATTGTCTTTAAATTAAGTAGCAGCCAAAGAATTATCATTGAACTTTCAAAAGGTAAGCTTAAATATTAATACAATGCTTAAATGCAGTGATCAATTTTAAGTTCTTCAGTAGTTTATTGTTGCCTATTCCATATGGCAGCAGTATGTCTCACAAAAAGAAATCTCCACCAAGAGAGAATCAAATTGTAATCTAAAGATCCAAGGCTGTAGTGAGGAAAAGAAAATCCCATGCAAATGAAAACCCAGATCAAATGGCAGCTACAAGTTAGGATGGCTTTTAAGCTAGTATATAATAAAAAGCAAAAACAATCACATGAATTCCTAAGTTTCAAAGCAGGTTTGATCAAAAATTCATTTTTAGTCTTAAAAATTTGCCACTTTCTAGTAGTTAATCCCAAAAATAAGCATATGCACTAATATAAAAAATATAATTTCTGATTTACTTAATTCTGTAAATTTAATAAGCTTTGAAATCCCCAAACACAATACATATTTAGTGATCCAAATCCTAAAATTTCAATTTGAAATTTCAAGCATTTTTTAAAGAAAAAACAAAAGAAAATGAATAAATAAAAATATTTATTAAGATCAAATGACAATAATAAATGTCACGTAAAAAACTTAAAAACAGATGGATGAACTTTTCACAGTAACTGCAGAATAAATAAATAAATGCCATCTTTAGTAGATGCTAAGAAACTATTGCCACTGGCATGTCATATATACATATTTGATTATATTGCATCTTTTAACTGAATAAGGTTACTTTATACAATACAGCAAACAATCAATAATTGGAAAACTACAATTACACAGTAAATTTATATGATGAACAGTTTTTCTTTAATATTTGAAAATCTGTTTAATGATTCAATTTCTGACTAAACAATTTGTTTCTGAAAATTCTAAAGTAGTATCATTAAACTAAATTATATTTGATTCAAATTATAACGGACTAATACATTAATGGTAATGTTAGGCTATTGTGTTATTTACAAAGATTTCAACTATTTTATAAAATTTGCAGTGGCAATAGGACAAAAGGATACTTTTTATTTATCTATATTTTTTTATTTGTTTGTATACACATGAATATACAAGCAGGAGCAGCAGTTCATAGTTTATTCACGTACTATTTCTTGGTCAACAGCCCGTAATGCAGCCAGACAAATAATACTAACATTTAGTGAACCAATCACAGTACGTTCATCTTCTACGTCATAAACTGAAAAGAAAAATCAATTATTTGAACAAAAATACAATAAAAGAAATAGAAATTTTAAATTCTAAGAATTATTCAAATTCTAAAGCTAAATGTTTAAAAGAATTTTTTAAAGGTTTTTATAATCAGATTCCATCCAAGAAATATTTTTCCAAAGATTACATCTAATTTTCAAAATATGTTATGCAATTTCAAATCCAACTGAATTTATATACACATGCAAAGCAAAAAGAATTTTAATCTGCTACAAGATTTGCATAGAGAGAATGTGGGTTATACTTGAAAATGTATAAAATAATAGAAAACTTTTTTACTTTTTTGATGTTCTGCTTTGATTGTAGTCAAAAGGAAGGAAGGAAAAGGATAATCAATGCTATAACTGGTCACATTATTTTCATTATTTCATTCAATATATTTTTTGGCTTAATTTTATACTTGCCAGCTTTTATGAGATCAGTAAAGAAGAGGTATTTAACCAGGATAATTTTTTAAGTCATTTTCAAAAACAAGAAATTTTTTTTCTTTATGGTTGATGCAGCTCATCCAGAAGAAAGCTACTACTACACTTGGCATCTGTTAGTCTTAACATTCATACCATTTGGGTTTAGCAGATTTTTCAGCTCTAAAACTGACCCATACAATGTGATGGGGATGCTGATGCTTAATATTAAGTGAAACAAAACAATTTAGTTAAATATTCTTTTTATTTCAATTATCTTCTTTTTTTTTTAGCTAATTAAAGTCCCCTATATTCCATGGTAATACAAAATCCTTAATATTGCTTTATAATTCAGCACTGGAAAAATTAGATAAATAAAATTTACAAAGAGATAAAATAGAAAACAATATATATATATATATATATATATATATATATATATATATATATATATAAAAAATTGTTGAATTAGAACTACAATACTTATCGATGTCAATTCTGAGTTTTCTGATTTTCTCAATCATCACTCATCAGGACTTTCAATAAGAATGACTGCATTGATTGCAAAAAGTCTATTTTATATATATATATATATATCATACTAATACAAATGTTATTTTTGTGAATAACAATGTTTGAGTAGACACTCAGCAGAGCACATTTTTTTTATTAAGTCTCTCAAATGCATAGGCCAATAGATATAATTTACACTGTTTATAAAAACATGGTTTTTACTCAAACATGGGTATCCACAAAATAACATTTGGAGTAGTAGGAAATATAAGAAATCCCTTGATTCCTTTATATATATATATATATATATATATATATATACACACAGTACAAGGCAAAAATGGATACACTCATAAAAAGTGGATTTTTTTTTTATTTTTACCAAGTGAGTAATAGTATTCATACAGGACTTTTACCTTCATCACACTTTCTCTCTAGATAACATTTATTCTTATTTAAGCATAGGCTGTATGCTTAGGATCGTTATTGTGGTGGAACATGAAGCATTGACCCAGGGCAGAAGTTTTTTTTTTTTTAGCAGAAAGTCACAACTGATTAACAAAAATGTTATGGTATTTTATGGCTGGTCCATGATTCCCTTGATTTTGTACAAATTACCAATTCTCCTGATGCTAAGAATGCACCCAAAACATTGTTTTTTATCATATTTAACAGTGCCCTTGGTAGTCACTGGAGTATTCATTTCACCAGGCATGCACGAAACACATATTCGTCCTTCATATCTAAGAGTAAAAGTGCTCTCGTCATTCCACATAACATCTTCCCAATCAGATTTAATCCAATGGAAATGAGCTTTGCACGAAGCCAACCTTGCTCGTCATTTTTTTCCAGATACAAAAGGTTTTATTTATGTATTTGGAAACAATGACTTTTACTTTAAGCTTGTGTCTAACTGTTTGACGTGAAGTCAAAGTTTAGCACTAGTCAGTCGCTAAGCTTGTCTTCGTCCCACGTTATTCTCAGTGACGAGTTATATAGGATTTCTCTTGCACTTATGCAAATTAGACATATTAATTTGCTAGTATCACTACATCTCCCTGAAATGTATAGGTTTTATACCTCTAGTAGTTCTTGTACTTCTTCTTGTGATAGTTTCATTACTTTGCTCTACTTCTCTCTCTCCCGTATTTCTTTTTCTGGGAGACCTAGATCTGTCCCGCGCTAAGCAGTAATCATAGGCAACTTCTTGCATTATTTGATCTTTGTCCGAACTTTCAAACTCATTCTGGTCCACTTGATCCTGCATTATTTCGTCCTTTGATGTTTCATTCTGTAACAGTTGTTCTAATAAATCATTAACGGACGGAATCGTAAACATTTCTTCATCATTTTGCTCTTCATATTCACCCTGGGTCCTTATTTAATCTGAATGGGTTAATACACTATTGCCGTTTTCTCTATTATAGCTGTATGATAAATTCTGCCCTTTCCGGATTTGCTTCTTTGTTCTTTTTGTACCACATTTTTTCATTTGTGGAATACGACATCTTTAGCAGAGCTCTAATTTGTCTTCCCATTAAATCTGATGGGCTTTCTAGTCTTCCAGCATGTGGTATTGTGCAATAGCTTAAAAGCAGCCTCAGTAGAAAAAATTTCTACTTTTCTTTTTGCTGAGAGCATGCTTTAGTCCTGTTTTACAGTCTCACCATTCTTTCCACTAACCCGTTCGATTGAGGGGTGATATGGGGTGTGTCTTTACATCCTATTTTTTCTAACCATAAATTAAGATCTTCATCACAAAATTCTGGTGTGTTGTCAGATACCAGGGTTTTTGGTATGACGTTTCTGAAAAATATGACCCTTAGAATCTGTTTTATTGTAGAACTTTTCTTGTCTAGCACCCAGATTATTTCAGGCCAGCCTGAAAAGAGTCTACTAGAATTAATAAGAGTCCCACTCCAGTAATATACGCATGATCCATATGCACCCGACTCCATGGCTCCACTTCTTTGGGCCACGAAAATTATCATGTAAAGTAGTCTGTGTAAAGTTTCTTAATTCATCTCTTGAATATTCCGGCTACCATGCTTCTAATTTTATCCTTTTTTGTGTGGCCTCTACTCCACAGTGTATATCATCATGTACACTTTTTTCTTACCAACTTTCTTTGTGTTTCTGGGTAATGGGGACCAAATCCCAAAACAAATCACTCCATGTTCTATTGTTAATTTCTGTCTTATTTCTTTGTAGGATCTTTTCTGCCTAGAACAATTTCCCCATGGGTTTTTCTTATTCTCAATATTATCCTATTTAGTACTGGATCATGTCTAGTTTCCATTGCCATTCTATCTAAAGACAAAACATCAGTCTCTACCCAATGTAAGAATGCATCTTCAAATTCTTCTTCTGTTTTATCTTTTGACTCCTTGTAAAATCACAATCTTGATAGTGCATCTATGTGTGGAATTGAATTTCCTTTGACATATTCTATATCAAAGTCAAATGCCATTAATCTTATTGCCCATCTTAGTATCCTTGATGTCCTGACTTTGGGTAATTCTTTCCTTGGGTTAAATATAAACTCTAATGGTCTATGATCACTTCTTAACAGAAATTAAAAATTGTCGGGCTCTAGTAGTTGTCCACACAATAGTCAATGCTTCTTTCTCTATATTTGAATAATTAAATTCGGTGTTCGTTAGTCTTCTTGATAAATACATTGTCGGATGTCCTTCTTGTGATAATATTCCCTATCCCTCGAATGTTCGCTTGCATCTGTGGTTAACGTAATGTCCGTTTTGGATCAAACATCTTCACTACTGGTTTCTTTGCCATAATTACTTTTTAATCTATCAAAAGCTTTTTTTGTTCCTCTGACCAAATAAATTCAACATTCTTTTTTTTCATAAATTTGCAAACGGTTCAGTCAAGTCCGTGTATTTTGGTAAATATCACCTGTAAAATTCAATGTTCCCAAAAATTCCAGTTCTTTTTTTTTTTGTAGGTGTAGCTACTTTTAGTATTTTTTTTTTATCAAGGCTTGGTCTGGTGATATACCTTCTTTTGAAATGGAATAACCTAAAAAAGATATTTTACTACAATTGCTTACGCATTTTTCAACTTTATTGTCATTCCAGCATTTCTTAATCTATTCAAGATTATGTTGGTTTTCTTTTTTAATTCATTTTCATTAGTAGCTCCTATGCATATATTGTCTTGGTAACAAATCATATTTTTCATATTTTCTAAAACCTGTTTGATGGCCCTTTGAAATATGGCACTTGCGGTTTTTATTCCATATGGCATCCTTTTCCATCTTAGTAACCCTATTGGCGTATTTATCGTGGTTACTTCTTTGAAGTTATCGTCTATTGGTATTTGGTGGTATGCCGTTTTTAAATCTATTTTTGTAAAAATGCTCATTTCTGCCAGTGCATGTAATGCAACTTCAACATTTGGTATAGGATATGAATCAGAACAAACTTTGTGATTTACGCCTATTTTATAATCTCCACAAATACGTAAATCACCATCTGTCTTCCTCAAAACTACAATGGGTGATGCCCACTTGCTACCCCCAGGGGGAACATGTTCAAGAAGGTGTTGTTCTATAAATTTTCGTAGTTTTGTTACTACTAATGGCATTCAAATGTACTGGCAATTTTCGTGCCTCATAATAAGAGGGGGAGACATTTTCTTTTAATTTTAAACTCGCTTTATAGTTTTTTAACTTTCCGGTTTTTTCCATTTTTATCTCATTAATTAATTTGGTAGAATTTATGTTAAGCACGTCGTTTCCAAGAAGTCCGTGGTTCTTTTTACAACTTGTGACAATTATAGGTATTACTTCAAATTTATCTTCTAACTCCAAGGAACCTTCAAAATATCCTAAAGTTTTTATGACCGACCCATCAAATTGGCGTAAAGGTGGCTTTCCAATGCGTTCCCAAAAACTTTTTGGTATCAGCATTACTTCACTCCCAGTATCAATTTGCATATCTAAATTGCAGTTGTTGATTTTAACCTTTAGTATAATGTCTTTTTTCTTTTGTTCAATTTTTTCTATATTCTTATTTTTTAATGTGAAGACTTCCATATTGGTTTTGTTTTCTTCAACTCTTTCAACATTTTTCTTTTTGAATTTGCATACTGCTTGAAAGTGGTTCTTTTTTAAGCAATTTGTACAGGTTTTTCCAAATGCTGGGCATTTTTCCCTTTTTATTTCATGTTCACGTCCACAATACAAACATTTTCTTATCTTTTTTAACATGTACGTATCAGCAAATATTTGTTTGCTGGGTTGACTTTTATGATGGTTGTATTTTTGTATTAATTCTTGTTTCTGTATAAAGTCAATGCATGTATTTAAAGACATATTTCCTATTTGCAGTTGTTCCATTATTTTATATCGGTGTGATGCATTGCACATACCTTCAATTAACCTTAATTGAATCAAGTCCTCTTCAATAGTCTGTTTGTCTTGTCCAAGTTTTTTAAATTCGCAATATCTACTCGCATTTCGTAGACGGTGTAGATATTTTATATTTGGTTTGTCAATTTCTTGTTTCATCGACATGAACTTCGTTCTTTCTGCCACTACCAGCCTTTTCTTGGGTCTCATATTTCTCCTTATAATCAGACTTATTTTTTTTTGAAAGTCAGGTCTTCCAAGTTTGTGGGATATGCCATGGTGGAGACTTTCATTATCGCCTCGCATCCAGCTGTAGCCAAAAATAAATCCATAATTTCATTTTCGCCTCTCTTCTCCTTGTTATCTTTCAGCTTTTTAATTCTTGCACTGGCAGAAAAACAGCGAATCCATGCATCCACGAAATTTGAATCTTCTAGAGACAAATGGGATCCTATTGGTGACGCTATTGATGTGAAGTCGAAGTTTAGCACTAGTTAGTCGCTAAACTTGTCTTCGTCCCACGTTATTCTCAGTGATGAGTTATATAGGCTTCCTCTTGCACTTATGCAAATTAGGCATATTAATTTGCCAGTGTCACTACACTGTTCTTGAAGAAACTGCCAAACTATCCACTTTGAAACATCTTGTGCTGTTGCGGATCGATCTTCTTTGCATTGATGAATCAAGTTTCTATCTTCCCTGTTGGTAACTTTTATCAGTCGGCCAGATCTGCTACATCTATTATATGTTTCAGTTTGATTTCTCTTTTTGATTAATTTGCAGACATATAACTCACTTTGATTAATCTTATCAGCTATCACTCTATTTGACAGCCCAAGATCATAAAAACCAGTGACTTGGCCTTTCTCGAGGTCAGAACAATGCTAAGGCATGTTAATAAATGTAAATATAAATGTAGTAAGCTTTATATTTTGTTCATCATCATCATTTCTATGTGTGTGTCCATTTTTTTGCCTTTGTACTATATATATATATATATATATATATATATATATATATATGTGTGTGTGTGTGTGTGTGTGTGTGTGTGTGTGAAAAGTGTATATAAATATAAATAAATATATATATATGTATAATTATTTATATATATATGCACGATATTAATTAAGCAAGCTCAATATCAGGGATAGAGCTAACATATTTGGTTGGATAGATGTGAGTTTGTGACCTGGGTTTCACGCTTTAGCGATTGTCTGACGATCACTAAAGCATGAAACCCAGGTCACAAACTCACATCTATCCAACCAAATATATATATATATATATGTATTTGCACTCAATACAGTACAGTTAAGGAATATGAAATACTTTCATAAAAATGTGATAATTCTATACTGACATCAGCCTACTTGAATTTCTGTTCCCATACATCTATTGCAGAAACATTAATGAAATCTGGTTCAAAACTTGACCCATTAGATCAGCATTTATGGTCACAATCTTGCAGGCATCATCTTGTTTTTGACATTTTTTTAAATTAACACAATCTTCATAAAATTTCTGAAAATTTATGCAAAAATGTTAAGCTGAGATCTTTGAAAGCATTTCAAAATATGCCATACATTTGGAAGGGAGAAGTCAAACTTCTTCCAAATATCTTCATATATAGAAAGCAAGCAATAAAGAAAAACTTACTGATGATATCTTCATCTATAACATCTTTGTTATTATGAAGAATATCCAAAAGTCTAACATAAGCCACACCAACTTCTTCACATTCCTCCCCTTGGGCTTCTTTTTCAGGCTCACTTACAATAGTAAAACGAATTCTGAAAGAAATTACAAATTAAAAAGCATGCAAAATAGAAAAAGCAAAAAGGAAAATACAAATGGAGAATTAAAATATTAATTATATAAATAAATTAAATTATTCTGTAAGTTTGATTACTCAGTCATCTGATATGCTAACACTTCAGCTTTCCTACTTCTTCTTATAGAATTGAAGTAGTAGAAAAATATTATTAAAAAATAGATATTACAAATCTATTAAGCAATCTGTAGATGGCTAAATTCCTTGAAAATATAAAAAAAGCTAAAAGGTTTAACAAAGATGACAAAAGTAAACAAAAGAAGAAATACATATATTCTAATGTAATGAATTAAAATTAATATTTCATTCAATAAATGAATAATATGGCATTCATACATAATAATTTTGTTTGCTGAAACTAAAGAACTTTTTCTTCATTATAGATAAATATTTACAAAGGAACATATTGGTAAACCTATATCATTCTAGAAGAAACAAGGGTGGGTTGAGAACTTCACAGGCTGACTAGGAAGGAGTGATACTAGATCTTGCATGCATTAATTTCAACTCTTCTTACTAATAACTGCATTGTTTATTTCTAGGTAAACTGACATCTAACTGTGTAAAGAAGACATCAAAAGTAACTAGAATCCAACTGAAAATTCATGAGATGAATTGAAAACACATGCAAAAGTAAGAAATCAAATAATGTTTAACAACTTGAAGATTACGCCCATAAAGTGTGGCCAAGTCACCCTGGAGATATAGGTTACCAAAAAAAGGATATATAATTGAATATTCATTTTTTTTCATGACTTAAATTTGTAGCATAAAATCATTCTTTCTTTTACTTATGATAATTCAAAATTAAATATTAAAATTTTTTCTTCATATATTTACTAACCTGATACCTATAGCTACTAAGGTTTTACAGAAAATTTTTACTACTCAATTGATTTGTAATTATTTCTAATAAAATTTTAAAAAATCAAACTATGCTCAAAATTTCAGCCAGTATTGTATATATCTAACACTATAAGTAATGACCTAATATAACATTCAGTTGAATCACTGTAACAACTTCATCAAAATATCTAATAGTTTTATTACATGCGAAGAAACTTAGAAATAGATTTTTAAAAAAAAAGGAAAATATTTTCATAATAAACACTAACCTTCCTTCATCTGGATCATTTGGTAATAGCATACTGGCCAAAAACTGGCGTTTATCATAATTGTTTTGGTAATCTACATGAAAACCTACAACAACAAAAAAGGTATCACAGATATTCAACATCTCTTTTGTTAATTAAAATACAAGTATTACAGATAAAAGTATTTCCTACATATAATTTGAATTAATAAAATATTTTTAAATTTTTTCTTTGACACCCATATACAAAATAAAAATAAAATATTTCAAACAATTATGCATATTATTCTATCTTTAATAAACAAAGATATACAAATTATTTCCTTTGATTTTTATTCAGTTTTTGTCAAAATGAAATTTATGAATTGACTGCATTATGATTAGATCTCTTAATATATTTTCCAAAATGCCCTTAACCTCTTCACCTCAGTATCTACAACATATATAGACTTTGACAGATTTTATTATGCAAGTCATTGATTTAAAAAAATAATAAAAACTTGTATTAAGCAATCAATGTTAATAAAATGTTCAGGCTATATTAATATGAGCAATATATCATGTGTGGTTCAGTATATAGCATCTATCTTTACTAAAAATAGTGATAATACTTTGTTTTGGTGGAAACAGGTTTTATGCAAACTAAGGACAATACAAATTTTTATTCATAAATAAATTAAAAAGCCATTTAGTTAAGATATTCCATAGACCTGTGTAAATTATTATTTTAGATGTTAATACATGGACTTGATCCGGTTTTCATTCTTTCATTTTGTTAACTTCCCTACTGTTCTAGTTTTAACATTACTTGCAACAAATTTTATTGCTTCTCAAAGATCTTTGTTGATTTCTATTTTTGTATAAATCTCTTAATGATAGACAAGTTTTTCCATTGGATTGGAGAGTTTTATGGGCCATTCCATTTTTTTTGTGGGGTGGGGAGCAAGATAGGCAGTAACACCTTTATAAAATATCAAGGAGCATCAATCTTGCATAAATATACTCTTTGCTGCAATGTGTACAACACAAAAAATGTCTTATCCAAGAACTTACAATAATTGCCTACAATTATATTTACACCATCATCAATTTTGAAGACTTATAATTTTACTACCTAAAATATTAACCAAAAAATTCCTCCACCTCCCTACCTGTTTCTTTCAAAGTCATGTTAATGGACTTTCTATGAAAGAGCCAAACACTAGACCAACCATCAGGTCAGTCCAATCTAACTCTGCATTCATAATTAAAAATTACCACAGAGAAATCATTTTACTTAAAAGCTGGTAGTTTGGTTGCTGTCATGATTTTAGCCAATGTTTGTAATATTTTGCATCTTTTCTCTGTTTACATTTGCAGCACCAATTTCAAATATTTCCTAGATGGTCAATCCACTTTTCTCATTTATTACACTTTTAATTATTCTCAAAACTATTTTTATGATATTCTTAGTCATTTTTTGTTCTTATCTTGCCAATGTTTTCTACTTCTTTTTTTAATCACTGTTCAACTTTTCTGTAATTTAGAAAATTGTGTTTCCATTGTTCAATAACTTTACATCTTGTTTCTCATTCTTACAGCATATAGCAACATTTACTTGCATAATAAAATCTGACAGATATACAGTGGGGGAAACAAATATTCGTACACATGCAATTTTTTAATTTACTGTATTTCCAATGAATAAACATAGTTTTCATATAAGTAATTGTACACAGATACATTATAACTAAATATGCATAGAAAACAGAAAAAAAATTTTGATTTAATAGAAATAAATCCTATTTATCTATTTTAATGGGTGAAAAACATTTGTACAATGCAAATTTCAGATTTTAAAACTTTAAATTGAATAATATTCTAGATTATTCAAGTGGAATATCCTAGAATGTTTCAATCATGTTGTCAGTAGTTATTTTTAGTCCCAAATATACAGAAAATTCTGTAATTGATATTCATGCAACAAGGATATCATCAAGGTAAGCAGTAAAGAATTGACAAATGTGCAAAAAGAACTGATTGTTAAGCTCTTGAAAGAAGGTAAAAGTACAGGAAAATATTACACAACCTGAATATTCCATTTACTACTATAAGTTTATTGCTAGTTATAAAAAAACTCAAAGTTCTTGAAAACCCAAAGAAGAACATGTGTTCCACAGAAGATTTCTGCAAGAGTTTTGAGGAAATTAATGTCAAATTAAACAAAATCCAATGGTTACCCATCAAGAGTTGCAGGGTGATTTGCTTTCATCTGGAATCTGTGTCTTTAAACAGACAACAAGCAATAAAATTCATAAGAACAATCTAATCACCCCTCAGAAAATTCCACTGCTATTGAAAAGACACTGAGATACCAGGTTGAAATTTGTTCGTGAACATAAGGATAAGGAAAAATCACGTTGGGAAAGAGTATTATAGATAGACAAATCCAAAATTGACTTGTTTGGACATAATTCTAGAAATCATGTATGGAGGAAAGATGGCGATGCCTTCAAACAAATAAACACAGTTCCAACAGTGAAATTTGGTGGTGGCAGCATCATGGTTGGGGAATGTTTTTCTACAAAAAATACTGGCAACATATCAGTAATAGATGATAGAATGAATGCCACAGCATATCAAAATATTTTGGAAGCAAATTTAATGATTTTGGTTAAAAAACTTGAACTTCCTCCTAATTGGATCTTCCAACAAGATAATGATCCTAAGCACGCTGCAAAATCTACAGAGAAATGGCTTGCTAAAAATAATGTAAATATCCTGAAATGGTCAGGTCAGTCCCCAGATTTAAACCTGATCAAGAATCTGTGGTGTTATTTGAAAATTCAAATTCTATCAAGAGCCCCAACAAACATCTCAGATCTGAAGACCATATGCAAAGAAGAATGGGACAAAATACCAACTAAAATTTGCAAATCATTAATTGAGAACTACAAGAAGTTGGTTGCTGTAAAAATGAATAATGGCTATTCTACAAATTATTGAAGATTATGTATTCTTTTTTGTATTGCACAAATACTTTTTTCACACATTAAAATGGATAAATGAGATTTATTTCTATTAAATCATATTTTTTTGTGTTTTCTGTGCATATTTAGTTATTATACATCTGTGTACAGTTAATTATATGAAAAGTATGTTTATTCATTAGTTGCAAAGACAATAAATTAAAAATGTGTATGTCTACAAATATTGTTTCCCCCCATTGTATATATAACTGGAATTATTTTGAGTTTATTTCATAGTATAACAGGAAGTAACCTTAAATAATGCCTTCATATATGTCATTTCTCAGCATGTTGCAGATATATATGATAATTATGAGAATGTTAACAATAGTATTTAAATGTGTTATGGTCAACTCAAAAAGAAAAAAGTACTAAATGAAAACTTACACTTGCTGAAGTGGTAATTGACTGGCAGACCATTCTTGGGTTTAGGTAGAGGATAAGGAGTTTCCAATTCTTCAGGTGGGTAATTAAGGAATCGATATTCTACATAGAGTTGCTTCACGTTCTCATTTTTAACAGGTTTTGAATCTATTTCCAAAGTCAGATGTGATACCACAACAGTTACTGTGTCACCTTCCTGTCAACACACAAAATTATAATTAAAGTTAAATTTTTTTTCTTCTTTGCATAAAGAAATATTATTTGATTTACTTCCATACAGCATTAATTGTAACGTTTCTACACTCCTGAAAGTGATCGCTTTTTTAGATTGTAGATAATGTCCTAGGTACACAAATAATTAAAAAATGATTTTATATAATAGATAAATTAATCTATACTGTTTTCAAAAATCATTTTTAGTTTTCATCTTTGTCAACTATCATTAAATCCAGCTTCAAAAATTCACAGAAAGCATCAAGATAAATGTACAATTGAATTTACAAACCTTAAATCTAAAATAAAATTATTTTATTACAACTTAGAATTTTAAAATGATACATATAAAATATCATGGACAGTGCATGCAAACAACAAAAATATGTTAAATTCAGCATTAAATGACTCATAAGGAGTTGATATGCCATTAAACAAACAAAATAAGAATTGTTAAAGAAACAAAAAAAGAAACTTGTACTTACTAATAGAAAGAGACAGTTTAAATTTTTAGGATACATAATGAGGAAAGAAGGCTTGGAAAATCTGACACTTACAGGACATACTGAAGGAAAGAGGGACAAAAGAAAACAGGAAATAACCTACTTAGCATGTGTAAATAGATAGTAGTACAGGAAATGGAAGCGATAGTAAAAAGACAAATATTGCTAAGAGCTACAAAGAACAGAAACTTGTGGACAGCCATAATCAATCATCTCCTGAAGACACATGACACATAGAAGAAAACATGCAGAAAATCTGCATCACATTAATAAAACAGTGATAATAGAATAATTAATAATATGATGGTATGCTGAAAAATTATCTGCCCTATTCACTTCCCAAAATCTGACCAAATGAATAAAAATAAGATTTTTTTTCTTGAAACAGCTTCCTGAGTGAGCTTAGAACTTTTCAGTACTCCTATCATAATGAATAGCAAATATGTTGCATAGTTGTCTGGGTTTTTTGTGCTTACATATTCAAGGCAGATAAGGATAAACTATTACTGCTTTCTCATACTAAAAATTTATAAGCTTTACTGGTGTAAATTAAGCCTGGAATGAATCAACTGCCTGAAAAGTATCTTTGCAATTAGAAACTGTATTATAAAATTTTGAAATTTACAAATAAACTGTAAGGTAATTATGAAACTTATTTTTTTTTGCAAGATAAAAAAAATAAAATTTATTAAAATAAATGGGGAAAATTTTTTGTTAATTGCAATTTTTTTAACATTTTTTAATAAAGCAACGTAAAAGATGGAATTTGTGACATTTTCAATTTATTGAAAGAGTTTAATTTTTTTTTTTATAAAAGGCTTTCAACTGGAGGCTACTTGGCAAAACTCTCTTGAGATTGCTATTCATAACTCTAGTTGCTTTTTATATGATAAATAGCAATAATTGAAAACCATTACAATATACTTGGATGAAAGGGTTGGGTCATCACTTTGGGTAAGTGAAGCAATAAACTGAGTCATCAAATAAAGGGAGTCTTATGGTGAATACGGATTTTTAGGAAGGTTTCAAAAGAAACAAAAGGTGTGCTTTCTGGCCTGAGACCTTGGAGTCTTTCACTTGTTTACAGCAGAAACTTTTGTTGACACATATGAAATAGGTTTTTCGAGAAACAAGCAACAATTGCAGATAATATCATTTTAGTGCTTTGTCTCTCTCTTAATCTTAGCAATAAGCTATAGTAATAAGGTTTACTTTTTATGCTCTCCCTTTTACTGTGCAAGTCATGCTCATGTAAATGGAAAAATATAAACTTTTTGTTCCGAGGATTTACATAAAAAAATTTTAATTCTAAAATTGAAAAAGGAAAAATATTTAAGAGCTATGAAATGAAACATAATTTACGATACATTTTTTAAATGGACATTTTCAATTTATACATAAAGTATAAAATGCAAAGAAAAGAGTATTGATCACATATCATCACAGATAAAGGACTTGAAACAACAGTAATGTGATTCTACAGAAGGATGCTGAGAATACTATGGAGCAGACAAAAGGGCAATAACAAAATTTTAGAGAAAATGGAAACAAAAAGGACACTTAAACATAACATCAAAAAGACACAATTGAAATTTCTAGGGCACATAATAAGGATAGAAGTGTTTGAAAATATGATACTCACCAGACAGATTGGAAAGACAAAGGAAAAAAATGCTTAACCTATCTAGCATGTTTGAGTAAATGAATGGCAGAACAGGATTTAGGAGTGAAAAAAAAAAAATAAAACTTATTAAGAGCTACAAAAAACAGGAAATTGTGGAGAGGTATGATCGCCAACATGTTGAAGGGACATGGAACATAGAAGAAGTAGCACTAAGAACAGTTGATTAATATATAAACTCAAATGTTTATACATTTGTCATTTATCACATGACCTGTGTCTTAAAATGTCTAAAATAGCATTGTGGCCTTCAATAAAATAATAAAGAAAACTTTTTATTGTAGTTTTCTGTAGCAAAATGTATATGTGTTGTGTGAATTATCTGCCAAATAGTTGAAAAACCTAGTCTTTGATTTTAATTCTTTTTCATAGACCACTTGGCAACTTAAGCAAATTTCTATTTTACCAATTATGTTCATTTCAGGTGTATATAATCTGAGTTTGAGAAGCTGGCAGTCAGAATCAAACAGAGATTTTGGCTTTGCCTTCTATGTGCAGTACAGTTTGTATATTCTTTTGTGATTTGTGACTCTTGCTACTGCCAAGTCTTGGCACTTGTATTTTTCAGCTACATTTTCCTTTAATAGTTTTCTTGTTACAGCCACAGGCAAAAAGAATTCTTGAATATTGTTATAGACTGATTATCTGTAATTATTAATAAAAAAACAGTTTTGCAATTTACCTTGTCCTTCAAAGTTGAAGACTTTGAATCTTTTTCTGTTGGAATAATTAATCCCTCACTATCAGAATCCTCATTTTCAACCATTTTGTTAGATTGTGGTGCCAACTGCTGCTGTTGCTGGAACAGGCTACTGGTTGTTTTTGATTCTGGCAAGGCTTCTTCAATTACTGATTCTTCAATTTCTGTATAAAAAATTATTATCTTAATTAGAGCTAATAGCACATAAATTTCATTTATCCATTCAAAACTTAATAATTAAAATATTTCCATTAGCAAAAGTAGAAGTGGGATCCAATTGACAAAAAGTTAAAAATTTACCAACAGGATTATAAATATAATGCAATAAATTCATACAGTTTTTCAATAATGACTGATATTGATTAATATTAGATTTGTAATTAACCTGGAATGCTCACAACTTATTGATAGCAGTACACTAAATGGTTTCATTCTTCCCTTATAGAAATGGACTATATGTAATATAGGAGGTAATGATGTAGTGTAGTTGTGGCTGCTATGAGATGCTGACAGGGTTCAACAACTATCACAGGTGACATTAAATTGATTCAACTGCTAACTTCCAAGTACACTATTGACACTCACACTCACCAGATTTAAGCCCCATTAGGTATGTATGGGATACCCCAGTAAATTCCTGACACCCAATAAACACAACTTCATAGTAAATTGTTATTCTGGAGAAGCCACATATTATTAAGGAAATGTATGTAATACTTTTTTGCATTTTACAAAGATGTAATTTTATAACTTCCTCAAAATGCTGTAAGTACTATGTAAGCTTGAAGACAGTTTCAGGACATTACTTTATACAATAAGAATTTATCTACACTAATAAATACAAATATGAAATAAATGATCAAAATTAAGTTTTTAATTCTTACCTTCTTCTATAATTTCATTGTTTTGCTGTAAAAGAAAATAAACTATAGATAATCTCACTCTAATCACTTATAAGATAGGATGATTATGAGATGTTAGAATTTTTCATGAGAAAGAACATCAAACTGTCAATACTTGTAGCAAAAATATTTTTGCATTGAGGGAAAAACCAAGGTGCATTTGGTACAGAACATTTATAACTGAACTGGAAGAGATCAGCCCATCATTAACCAAGACACAGTAGAGTTAAAAAAAAACAAGTTACAACCTTATTTTTCAGTGAGAAGAGTTTAATGAATGAATAATCCTATCATTCAAATGTTTCTAATAATTTATTCCACTTTATAACAAATCAGTTATCATCAATCTCCTGGCAAATATTTGCCCTTTCGATGACTGTGAAAAAAATTAGATGATTTTTTTCACTGATAAATATTTGTGTTTATTTCAATTAACTCCACATAAACTACCACTGTTCCAGCATTTCAATACTTTTTCATTTTTAACCTGAATAATTTTCTAATTTCATGTATATTTGAAAGGTGCAAACTTATTTCAATACATCTATTATAGTTTTTATTTATAGTTAAGTATAAAACTTACAGTTGTGACGAAAGACATGACTTATCTCAGAATTCGAAACAAGCACATACATGTCTTGCCTGCAAAGTGATGACAAAAAGAAATATGGCTGCTATTGAAGACGCAATTCATGCGCGCCTCTCTCATCCAGAAGGAGATGATATTTGCACACATGCAAATTTTGAACGTATTGAAATAACGTAAAAAGTGGGGTGCCAGAAACACGAGAGAACTGAAGTCATTTGGTGGACAATAGAGTTGGACGTACGGATTGACAGACGGACAAAGAGGAAGTCGAAGTAGGCATGGCTGAGCTGGTATCTGTTTCACAACTGCCCAGTGTAACAGCTGAGAAAGGGAGCCACACAATCCATTTCCTTGAGGCGACCAAAGATGAAGAAAAAAAAAATATCTGGCCTGCTGGCGAGCGCTGCGCTGCACTTTTTGACCCTCCTCTCATCACCATTTTTTCTATAAGCTATTTCGGCAGTTATGGCAAAGGTTCACATAAGCAGTGACATTATAAAACCATTTTCCAGCCAGGGCGATGTTGTGGCATGGCTAAAAAAGGTCAGGCTGGTGGCAAGACTTCGGCAGGTGGACAATGTGACTAGCCTGATGCCATTGTACCTGGAGGGGGACAAACTAGCCCTCTACATGGAAATGGAGGAGAAAGATCAGAGAGATGTTGATCAGGAGGTGGCTGAACACTCTCAATGAGCTCGTGGAAGAGCATCAGCTGACCATGGACATGACAGTGGTCCCTTCGGCTCTGAATATAGCTGATCGACTGACGAGAGTACCACAGCGATGGTTTCACACAATGAAGAAAAACAATGGACCCATGCCAATGATAGGCACCATCCATGTGGACGAACTGGACACAGACCAAATCATGTCCATCCACAGGAATAGTGGTCACCCAGGAGTGTGGCGCACTACCTACTTCACCAGGAGAATCTGCCCGTCAACAACAAAAGCAGTAGTTAGATCAGCTATACGGACGTGTGAAGAATGCCAGTCTATAGACCCCGCAACAACTCACTGGGAAGAAGAAAAGCTTGAGATAAATGGGAACTGGCAGAGACTGGGAATGGATATCACCCACTATGGTACCCATCATTTCTTAACATTGATGGACTGCGGCCCATTGCATTTTTCAATCTGGAAGCAATTGGCAAGACAGGACTCGGTGGCCATGATTCGCCAGCTGAAAACAGTGTTCTTCAAGCAGGGCCCACCCCATGAGCTCCTCACGGACAACAACCCAGCTTTCTGCAGCAGGGAATTCAAAGCCTTTGCGCGTGAGTGGTGAGTCAACTTGCGGTTCCATTGCCCCCAGCTGGGAATGGAATAGCAGAGCGATGACACCGCACAGTAAAACAAATCACAGCCAGGATGCGCTGTTCAATCCAGGAAGCCATCTACTGGTATAATGTCAGACCAAAAGACAATACATCACCCCAGACTGCGCCTGCCAACAGGATCCACCAATACGAACTGAGGGTGAAAGGGGTTGACGGGCACGGCTCTTACCAGGTTGGAGATCACGTGTGGGTCAAGGCGCCAATGAGTCGGCGCACCACCAGGTTCAACAGAGGTCAGGTGATGAAAATGATCAGCCCGCAGTCATTTCTGGTGGACAGAATATCCTACCACATTAAGGATCTGTTCCCTCGCCAAGGTTTCAGCGCATCCGAGGAAGATTCCGATGACACATCTGAGAGCGGAACAGAAAGTTTGCTGCTTGATGAGGAAAGTGCAGAGTGCATCAATCTACCCAAAGAGAGAATAGAAGCAGAGCCCCACTCTGACAATCCACCCGAAGAAGGAGCTTTTGCAAAGAAGTACCCATCGAAAACGACCGCCACCAGGCTGCCACCTTTGTGATCATGAGATCAGGGAGAGGTGTGACGAAAGATATGACTTACCTCAGAATTCGAAACGAGCGCGAATGTATCTTGCCTGCAAATTGATGACAAAAAGAAATATGGTAGCTATTGAAGATGCAATTTATGCATGCCTATCTCATCCAAAACGAGACAATATTTGCACACATGCAAATTTTGTCCGTATTAGAATAGCATAAAAAGCTGGTTGCCAGCAGCATGAGAGAACCAAAGTCATTCGGTGGACAGCGTGCAACAGAGTTGGACATATGGATTGACAGATGGACAAAGACGAAATCGAAGTAGGCACAGCTGAGCTGGTGTCTGTTTCACAACTGCCCAGTGTATTGGCTGAGAAAGGGAGCCATGCAATCCATTTCCTTGAGACGACCAAAGAAGAAGAAAAAAATAACTGGCCTGATGGCGAGCACCACACTTTTTGAACCCCGAATCACCATTTTTTTCTACAACAGTCATTTTACAGGTGTATATTTTACACAGTTTTTCAACCAATATAATGAACACTGATGCAAGAGTAATGTACAAAATAGCATTGGCAATTGTTCTTTGAAATGTTACCCAATGGTACAAAAAGAAACTTTTGTAAACATACTTCATCCTTTTCAGCAGGATCACAAGTACCAATAATAAGACTGAACATACAAAATTCCATCAATACTGAAAACACTTTCCAATAACTCAAAGTTAATTTTATGTTAGATGATAAGTATAACTTACTTGAGGAACATGAGGTTCTTCAACTGAAAAATACAAAGAATAAAACTAAAAATAGGTAAAGAATAATTTTTATCATTTTTAATACAATAACTAAATCTCATGCCAATCTTTCTTTTGATGATAATACTATAAATAATGTCAGGGTTGTGTAACTTGTGCAAAAATACCTCAGGATATTGTTTTGGAAATTTGATTTCAATCATATCATGTAAATTATTTTATAATTCAGTTTACTCTAATTTTACAGACTAACAAAAAACATCAGAGAGACAATATTTCCATTCAAGAATACATGCAAATATGGATTTTTTTTTACTCAAAAATACATCAAGCAATGATTCTTGCCAAAAATTCAGAATATATTTAATAATAAATCAAATAAATTATTATGAAAATGATAGTCAATCCTACAAATTCAACTATTACCTTTTTTCTCATAAAATTCACTATCACTCTGAAAAGACATTTTCCTACCAAAGGTTTATCTAACATTTGAAAAGAATTAAGAATCCCAATCATATGGCTGATGGCTATTTTAAATGGCAACCAAAGTTGAATCAACAAAAGATCAATCACAATAATTAAGATTTGTAAATCTGTATCTGTCATTGTAAATAAAATTTTTACTTCTAAACATGAATGTTTAAAAAAACTGCTAAATTATTTCATTGTTTTTATAGTCTAAATTCACTTGTTAAGCAAAGTCTTTATGGCTTCAAGTTATTGTAATCGAGTTTTGAGCCATCAATTTTTAAATGCAATGTTATGTCCCAAATTAAAACTTTACTTCATTATAACATTGAAGGTATATTAGAATAATTAACAAAGGATGCTGTTAGGAGCACTTAATAATTCTAATAGACATACAAAAAAGATTATACATATTGATTATAAGGTGAAATATAGAAGTAGTAAATTTAATGTACTGGATGCAACAGACAGAAATTGTACAACTCATATATCTTCAATCATTAAAGAAACATTTTAAAAATTGCATTATAGTTTACCTTTAACTTTCTGGTCTTTTGACATCTTTTCTTGTTTATTAAAGGATTTTTCTAAAGGCTCAATATCAGCAACTGATTCACAGCTAGGTTTTTTCTCAGTTGCAAATTTTAACTTTCTTGGAGCAGCACGGGGTGACATCACCTGAATAGAATTGGTATAAGCTATTAAATAATATGTACACAGCATATATTGTACAATCATCAAAGTTTCATACAATTAGAGAAGTATTATTTGGAGCTTATATACAACACATAAATGAGACATCTTGAATGAAAACATCACTTTACCAGTTTCACAATATTTCAAGCACTAAAAAACAAATGACTATGTTTCTTCAGTAATTTCAAAGTTTAAAATCTCCATTATTTAGTAAAGTTTTAAATCCTTCAAAATAATATGACCTTCCTTTTCATAGGAAAACAATTCTAAATGATCCAGTATTAACGAAAGCATATATAAATTACTTTCTATGCTTCTACAATCTGCATATACACAGAAAATTTTCCCTGATCTAGAAATATTACAAAAGGTTTTTCTTTTAAGTCAAAATTTGAAACTAATTCTTTGACACAAGTACAATATAATGTTCTAGATGTCTGCCAAGTATGTTAAATATTCTTTAATATAGTTTTGATATTTTATCCTTTTTATAATGACAATAATATTTTTATCACATAATCACAACTCTTTGAACCTGGGCAGCCAATATACCAGCTGCTGTATGAAAGCACATATACCCAGGTAATCAGTATACTGACTAGAAAACACTACAATATGGATGAGGACATTTGGAACTTGTTGGTGAGAGAAAAGAATTGATTGATGCACTCATTTCAAAACCAAATAACTTGACAGCAATAGTTCAGAAGAAACTACAGTGACAGTTACAGAAATGAAGACCGCCTTTGGAACAATGGAAATGTTATTAACCAACAACATACAGGAACAATAATGGAAATCAAAAGAGAAATTTATCTTCTATTTATTTCTAGGTTTTTCTTCTGTGATAGCTCATGATGAGTTTCTTACCACTTGATCCTTATTACAATTTGTGAATAAAGATTAACCCCAGTGAGATAAAACAGATAAACTACAAATCCTACCCAATGTTCATTTGTGTACTTACCAAGTTCAAGCATTATGTTCCTGTTTGTGAATTATTGCTAAATGAAGGTATGATCCTTGACCATAAACTTTTATTCAGATATCAAGGCCAAGGCTAATAAAGTGTAGCATAAAAAGCTTTCTAGTTTGTGATAATGATATTGGTTACATATGCAATACTGAGCTCTATATTGGTAGAAGAGATGATTCTAATACCATACTTGAAAGAAATACTTAGTATCCAAAAACACTCAAGACAAAGACTTTCCTAAAACAAGAAAAGCAAATGCACAAACTATGATGAATATCTCTGTATTGGAAGTTAGAAAGACAACTGCTAGTATGAGTGGCATCACAAAATACAATATTAGCATTAAAAAATTATATTTATAAACACAGATGCTTCCTGTGTATTACATCGTGAAATGAACAGCAGGGAGGCCAAGATGGAACAGAGATATTATTTCAAAGATCAAAGTGTTAAACCTTTATAAACATGCTGATATGTGATAAAGTATAAATAATGCTTTCAGAAATGTAAATGAATTAAAAAAGACAAAGTATTAAATCAATTTACAGATTGCTGCATAGATTGTTGTTGTTTTGGTTGCACTGATGAGACTAGTTCCTGCTGCTGTTGATGATTTTGTGAAGATGATATCCGCACCTCTTTATTATTTGCAACTGTTGTTACCACTGAATGAATTGCAGGTGTGGAAGTCATTAATGGCTTGTTCTGGAATGGTGTTGATGTGGAAATCTGGCTAGACATAGCTTTCGATGTGGACAGACTGGAAACAGTCTCAAAGTCTGTAGTTATAGCGCCTGATCCTGAGATTGTTTCATTAGGTTTGGGACTGGAAGTTCTTGCTAATGTCTTGCTGCTGTTGCTAATACTACTTGGCATGTGGCCATCATCAAAGGGCGTAGCCAAAGGAGGATCAGTAATTTCAGTTGGCATGGTTGGAATCTGGAAGAATTAATTGAGATGAAGACAAATTTACAAAGAGAATAGTGTTGCTCCTAACATAGTTTAATCTGGATTTGGTAAAATTGGTAAAAAAAGACAAAATTACATACAAAAGAATAACGGGAAATTACAAAGAAATCTTGCAAAATATTTTTAAAATTTTAAACAAGTGAGAGATGAAGAAGAAGTAGCAAGCGATAAATCATTTGGGTTAAAAACATTCACTGGCATTAGGACAAGTTAAACAAATAAAAAAATGAAGTACTGTTATAAATTAAATAATGTCTTCATAATAAATATATCATTATTTTTTCCAGTTTGTTGCAGAACAAAAAATATCACATTTGTAAAAATCAGTTACAAACAACCAAAAACAATAATCATTTAAAAATGTGTTCTTTTTCAGGATGGCAGAATACTTTTCCTGATTATATATGGAAACTCAGGAATAAAAATATAATGATAACAATTTAAAAAAAAAAAGATTAGGAAGAATACAAAAAATAATAAAGAACAAATTGATTACTTGGCTTGGGATTTGTAAAGGAGCAGCCAGAGGAGGCAGGTATGTATCTTGCCAATATAGTGCAACCTCAATTTGCCCATTCACTGTGTTGTCTGTTCTCCTCAATTCAAATAAACCTCTTATATCATTTTCATGCACCAAAGAAATCAAGGGAATATTGGCCATGCACAAGAAACTTGATTCTGTAGGATCTGTATCATCAAACACAAAGATCTTCAAATCCTTCCAAAAAAAAAAAAGAAAGAAAAAAGACAATGTCTTTAATATAGTTATTGCTACTTTTTCTTTTTTTATATATATATATCACTGTTAAAGTTAAAGTGATGCGCTATATATAAAAGATATAAAAGACTTGCTTGTTTGTATACTTCAATCAGACAGTTCTACCCTTGGCTTTTGTCACATTCAACAGATTAGCTAATTTCAGAACTATTTCTTTGATGGAATTTCTACATTTAAACATAAAAAATCAAATTTTTTCTCCTCCAGTTGAAATTCAAATTACAAATGAAACTAAATTACAAATACCAAAACTCTTAACTACCCAGTAAAACCATCTGGAAGTACAATAATATTTTTCTAAGTTTTTATTTTAATGAAAGAGCACTAATGTGTTTATCCAGTTTACTAATTTACTGTGACATTAATGTTTCAAATATATTTTTAAAAAATGGTATAATTAAATTATCATGGTATGAACATTTTTAATTTAAATATTATTTTGCAGCATGCACATATCAAATAATTTTGCATAAATAAAAAGACAAAAGAAGTAAACATCTATGTCTATGAAAGAAAATGATTCTAAATTATGGCAGTACTATCCTCAAATATATAACAATGTAGATGTGTGTATATATATATATATATATATATATATATATATATATATATATATGAGGGGTAACACTTTCCCCAAAGAGCTGAAATAGTAGATGAGAAATAAGTTTATTTCCATTCCTATCAATCTCTGCCATTTTTCTCTTTCTTATTTCTCTCTTCTCTAAACAGTAGCATGTGATATAAGCTGTCTGGGATAGTATGATTAATATTCAATATATACCAGTGACATGCCAAAAATCATAGAATAGAAATTTGTAAAGGTAATGGTAGGTTGTGCCACCATACCTTGTTGTAATGGAAATGCCCAAATCTATATCGATTGCGACGTGACTTCATATGAAGACTGGTTAGGTTGCTCATGATAAGGAAATGTGAATTATTGAAGTTTGAACAGGATATGAGAAGTGGGTACCAAACAGATAGGATATTCCATTTTGGTAATTGACATCTCTCAATTTATGGAGTCATGTGTGTACTGAGAATACTTGATTAAATGCATAGCACAGTGATCAACCAAAGGTCTTTAATATGGCTAAAACTGTCTGCAGCAACATTAGTTCAAGATACATTCACATTTAAGAGCTACCAGCCATATACACAGCAGGTCAGTTCAGCATTCTTTAACTTCCATGGAATATGAGAACAGAGGACCTACCTCAGTGCCCCTGTTAACACTATAACATCAGATACAATGTCTCACTTGGGCTCATGACATTACTAACTGGACACTGGAAAACTAACAACTCTCAGTTTCAATTGTTTCAAATTAATAGTGGGATTCAGGTGTGGCTCACACCCCATGAAGCCATGGAAACTATTATCAACAAAGCACCATGCAAACTCACTGTTATTCTATACTGAAGTTGGGTGCATTCATGTGACATGGGTTGGGTCTGTTAAACATGCCACTGACTGGTGACCACTATATTGCCTTGTTTTGTGAGCATTTGCACCCATTCATGAATGCCATATATTCTCATTAACAATGATACGTTATTCCAGAGCATTCTAGAAACTATCTTTGTTTGACAAGAGCCTAATCAAGCATTTGAGGGATTTGATGGAGAAGTTTATTTGCATGTGAAATCCTACAATATCAGGGAGCTATGGATAACTATCAGGATGGCATGGCTAAACATATTTGCAGAGGTCTTCTAACTACTTATGGAATTAATGACACATCAAGTTATTGTACTTTACTTGGTTAGCGTGGAAATTCCTAGACAATACTAGGTATCTATCCCATGACTTGTGGTATGTCATTATAACTTTTAGCTAATGCAAAATATTTCTCTTTTCTCATGATACAATTATATTTTACATTTTCAAATCTCTTTGTAAAACAGTATTTTTTATTGTGCTTCATTTGTTGTCATGATTTGTATTGAAATTGTGTAAACTGCACAAACGTGTGTGCAGTGCTGCCATATATAATTCTATTGTGTTAGTTTGTATGTTTTTCAGTCATTTTAATAAAAGTTAATGCTTACAAATTTCTTCTTCATATTTCTACAATTGTTATTCTCTTGTAAAGAAAGTTTAACAATTTCAAGTAGCATTTATTCATAAATTCAATTTTCTATTAAAAAAAAGTAAAATAATTTTTTTTCTTTCACTAAAAAAAATTAGACAATTTATCATTGGGAATTAAGACGAAGAAGATACTTTTATCATCATTACACACATATTCTATCAAGTGCTTTCATGGTAGTAGAATGTGCTGGTCTCTTAAGCCAGTCATAACAGTGTATCAGAAAGTATATACTATTTAATTACTTTCCAATTAACAAAAATACATAAAGAAGGCTACTAAGTACAAATGAACACAAATTGGATAAAACATGATATAAGTAAATTCAATGAAAAATACATTCCATATCTTTATACTTGTAAAAGAAATGAATGAAATTATTTTCCTAGTTGACTTAAAAGCTCATTAAGCTAAACTATCATCCAAAATTTAGAAATGGATGCATACTTACTGATGACCTAATATACTGATCAAGTGTTGTCGTCATAGCAACTGGATATGTGTGATGATCATTAAATTCTGGATTGTTAGTACTATGCAAAATAATACTATCATGATCTCCATAGTCAAAGAACTGATAGACACAATAGGGAGATGGTTGTACATCTACAAGAAAAAATTATTTGAATAAATAAAACCAAACATCATATAATCAACTCAGTGGGGTTTATATAAGAAACCATACAAATGCATTCTAACAACAAATCTAAGCCTACAATGAACAAAGCAATAATAAAGAAAAGAAAATTTATATTAAACACCAGCCAAATAGCACAAACTAGTTATGAAGTGACCACATTTCAACATGCTAAGCTAATTATAAGAGAGTAATTTAAAAAATATTCAGCTAGTGCTGTTCTGAGTAATGTTTATTAAACCACATTCATCAAAACTATGCCTGAATATGTTCAGGTCAGAGGATTGTATCAGCATCTGAAAAAAAGAAAGTACTCACAAAATCACTTTTCTACTGACAACATCTTTATCGTTTAAAATAAAGACAAAATGATTTAAGGCAAAATTTATTCTATATTTACATGATACAACTTAGATGCTATTTATCATCCATGAAAAAAAATTGTTAAATACATTTACAAAAGAAAAATATAAATTTTAATTAAAATATTAATGTTCATTAAAATAAAGGAAATAATTAAATGACTTTAGGGAAAAATGTTTTAAGCAGACTTTATTGTATTCAGCAGTTTACCTCAGGCTTTTATTGTTGGGGATTTTGTAAATACTGTTTTTATTTAATTAACTTCAATGCCATAAAAATAAATGTGGTTAACTAACTTAATTACTGTATAGTATTTCTAATTTCAATACATAATTTCACAAAAATTCTATCTTCAAATTTAAATATGTGAAGATTATTGAAACTACATAATACACAGGTCAACAAAGATTTTGCTACTGAGGTAAAAGCTTGTGCATGCTGATTCCAAATCCATATTCAACATTGTTGTAGTACACCAGGCTATCTTGTTATGCACATGCAAATTATTGGCAAACCCTTGTCTTATATGAATTTAGCAATTACACTGAGCAACATAAAGAAAAACCTTCTTGTCAATCACAAACAAATAATTCTATAGTATAATAAAATATTGGATATGCTGATTCTGAAGCAGTCCAAACACATCAGGTTTTTGTGATATATATGTAACATATTTATGTTCAAGGTAAATATTATATTAATAGTATCCACTTAAGTTGGTGGTATGGGATTCATTTATGTTAGCTGTACAGGACTTTCTTAGGTCTCAAGGAGCTGAAAACTATGCTGATTTAATAAACAACATGCTGACAGTATTTCAAAGAATGGGATACCAGATGTCTCTCATGTATTTTCATCTTGATTTTTTTTTCAAACAGGTACTATAAGCAATGAGCCTGATGAGAGGTTTCACCAGGACATATGTGAGTTGGAATCATGATATCAAGATTGATTCAACTCAATCATGATGAATGACTATAGCTGATTCCTACAACAGAAGACCAGTCTCAATGCACAAGAGAAAGTGTCTCAATGTATCAGAAATAAAATGAGCACTTTATATTAATTCATTTTTCCCATCACCATGTAAATAAATGTAATACATACACTACTAATATACTATTGATATAATATTTACCTTGGATATAAACATGCTATGCACATATCTCAAAACAGTGATATGCTAGGATACTTATGAGAACAGATTCAAAATCAATGTACTTGATTTGGTCTAATACATCATAATTTGCCTGAGCAACAGACAAAAATGGGTTCTTTTGGTTGTCCAGTGATATCTTTTCCAAGAGTGCTTTCATTCACAAAGCAGAAAATATCCCCCCACCAAAAAAAAGAATAAGTTCTATGATGAGTAAAAGAAATATAATTTAAAAATCAAAGTCATTAACCAAGTTTAATCCAAATAATATAAAACTCACTTTATGAACACTGCTTCAATAACTTGTTGACATTCTTTAGCCAATACAAATGGCCAACAGAAAGAAAAGTTAACATGCTTTGCAAAGTGTAGCTACCTTTTCTGTGTGCTTGCAGCCCAATGCATCGTATTATTTTGATATGTAGTTGGTTGATATTGTCAGCAGGTCTCATTGCAGCCACTTCATCCAAGGCCTTCAAGGCCTTCATTGTGCTCTGATTATTAGCATTGATGTAGCCAAGTGCTTTTGTTCGTTCCTGCAGAAAAGATTTTTATGAAATAATTATTTAAGTATTAAAATAAAATGCTTATAACTTTCTCTATGCAATCAATTACACCTCTTTCTGGCTTCTCTTCTATAACATTTATAGATAATGGATTATCATCATCTAATACATTACCTAAGAGAAATTAAATCAATTTTAACAAGTTTTATATTTTATAAACAGGCTGCTGAAATTTTACTAGTGTGCATGTATTTGTTTCAGAAAAAAGAATTTCTTTTATAACCTAACATGTTAAATGAAACATAAACACCTTATATAACACTATTTCTCATTTATAACCAAACATCTTTAAAGAACACTTCATATAACAATTTTGTAGTTTCTTATTTTCTAATGTAAAATTTTCAATAAAGATGCAGTATTTGTGTCTACATTTTTATAGTACTTAAAAATAAATTATACACTTTGATCTTCAAGAAAAGGTTGCAAATATATTGTATGACTGAAATAGGAACTAAAAAACAAAATGACAACAAGTTCTTCCCATTACCATTAAGCACTTTTCAAATTAAAGCTTTTTCTGCATGGTCAATCTCTGGGAATTTACTATCATCCATGGAAAAAATAAGTAAAACATTCCTTGCCTTGTATAATCGTAAAGCTTGTTCCATAGGAACTCTGAGATTGATCCAATATTCAACAGTACCAAATCCACTGCCAGGGTTATTCATATCAACACCTACAAAAGAAAAAGTACCCGTTTTTTTCAGGACACACTTAACCATTAATGGAAAATGCTTTCATTAATATTTCTGTTTATTTAATAATTACATTTGATAAGCAAAATATATAATATTGATATTAAACAAATAACTGTTTTTCCTCTGGAATACCTAAAGTGATTTCTATCAAATCTTTTACCTTAGATGTTTTTAATTTATAAGCTTCATCAAGTTAATTTTAGAAAGAGAAACAGTAACATTTGAAAAAATTTAATATTAAGCCATAAATATTAGTCAATTAAAATACAAAATTTTTTCTTGCATGAATTTAAAAAACAAATTTTTTAACTCCTATAAGCAAAAAATTTGAAATCCATATATCATATATAAAACTATGGTTAAACCCATTAAAGTTTTTCAAAAGAGAAGCATAAGTAAAAAAACAGTCATTCTAACAGATATAGATTAATTACATACATGCTAATACTTTTTTCCAATTAAAATGATCTCTAATAAATATAATAAATGTACCTGTGAGAAAAGCTGTACAATGGATCCTTCCAGGAGGATGATCAAACAAGTCATGAAATCTCAGCTGACATGCAGCCAAGGTTTTAAAACTCTGGCCAAAAGAAAGTTGTAGTTCTAGTGTGCAAGTTTCCTGCAAAAATGAATGAAGACTTTACACCAAAAAAAGAGAACACATTTTAACTATTTCATTTTACAAAGAGTATAAAAAGTGCTTGTAAAGAGACATTAAAAACAAAACCATAAACCTTTCAACAACAGCTGGTCATGTATTTTGATTGAGAGAGAAATTTGCAACATTTCTTTACTCTGAGATTAAAAATATAATGTATCATCATTATTGCAACATTTCTAACAATTTCAAGAATCTATGAACTTCAGTTTTGTGTGACACACAGCTAATTCAAGCTTGCTATGTTTCAACTCAAGCTTTGAGTCTTCTTCAGGTCTTATCCAAACAGTGAGTGGAGGAGAATAACTAGCTAACAGACCCAGTTAGTGTTACATCTGTTGTTATGACCAAGGATTCTTGACCCTGAAGCTACTACAGAAAGAAATACAGCTATATTTAGCAATCAGAATAATGAGGCAATAATGTCACACAACATTTTTTACTTTAAAATTTTTTTCAGTCAAATATCTTAGAGAATATAAAAATAGTTTAAAATCAAGTTTTATCTTGATCTTAATTTCTTCATGAATTCTATCTCATTTATTCTCAATGCCTTAAGTGAATCTACAAGAAAATGTTTGTAATTTTTTAATTCTTCATTCTACCTGTATATCAGAATATAACTATTTCTTGTTCAAAGTTTAAACTTTGGATAGGCTAAGAATTATGAAATGGTTTATTTTGCACGAGAATAAGTTTTACAACAAATAACAAAATAAAATACATATTAAAACCTTTTGGTTTTTGTCTGCCCCATAGGCAAGAGTTGATGTCTTGAAACAATACAAATATTTAATTGTTTTAATCTGCTTTTACAAATAAATAGTAGACTTTAATGAAAACAGCTAACAGCTATGAAATATTCAAAAGCAACAATAGTTGATGTATTGAAATTCAAAATTATATCAAAACAGAAACTTTAAGTCATATGTTACAAACTCACATTATTAATATCAACAAAGAGAAAATACTTCCTCTTGCAGGATAGAGAATAGTCTGGAAAATTCAATGTTCTTTGATTTTGCAAAAAAGATACATAAGCACACAAATTTTGGTAAATTATTTCCAAGCTAAAGAAAGAAACTGTTTACTTCGTGTGTTATTTCTTTTTAATAAGGATTCATTAAAATGTTAGAATTTTGTTCAGTTTCTGTTTTTGGAGCAAAATATTCTAATTAGTAATCTCCTAACATTTGTAATATGCCATTAGCAATAAATCATATTTTGTATGGAGAAAAAAAATCAGAAACTACAGTTATGATTTATAAGCATAAGAATGAAAGTCAGTGAAGCTTAAATTAGTGCCAATTATTTCTCTTGTTAATACAGATTTTTAAAAATGTAAAATAAATAAAAAGCATGACCAAATAACATTAGTTTGAAACTTTTGAAATATCAGAGTAAATTTGAAGTATATTGAACAAAATTTGAATCAAATATTAAATTCTCTTACAAACGTATTTCTTCATTATAGCTAACTTTACTAGCATCCATCAGATTGAATGATTTACAAGTGCATTTTTCCATGATTCTAATTTTAATTTAATTCCATCTACAATATAATTGAGCTTACCCAATTATTTATCAAATAATCACCTTTATATAGTCTGATATAAATCACTCCCCAACCATTAGGCCATGGTTCAAGGAGTAATTATATTTGATGAAATAGAATCTTTGTTAGATTTTTGAAGTGATCACCATATCTGGCCAAGGCAAAAGAAGAAAAGGATTGAGAAAGGATAGTGTCAAATATCATCATAAGGTGGACTGGAATAATGGCTACGATATCACCAAGCCTGCTACTCACTGTCTCATCTACAAAGAGATCCATGATGTCTTGAAAATTTTCCTTGAGAATATTATCTATGATGCTGTCAACTACACTGAGCATTTCAAGAGAAAGACTCACTGCTATGGATATGATCTATACTTTCAAGAAACAAAGCTGACCCCCTCTACGGTTTTGTAGGTTAAGGAACTTGAACCAACAAACCAAGAACACCCCCACTACACAATCTAACCAAATACTGCCACACAGAGTGTAGTTTAGACACAGATATGGACCTAGAAATCAGCACATAGCAACTTCAAAGGAAAGAAAAAAAGAGAACAATAACACACCAACCAAAACATCATCACAGGTGCCTTCAAAAACATGATTTTAAAAGCAATAAATAAAAATGAAGGAAAATAAATGTATTGCTCAAGATTAAGAGATTATAGTGTTCAGAAAAACATGAATAAGTTCTCATAATTGTTATCAACAATTCTAAAGACATTTTAGTTCAACTCAAGAAAAGGTGGAAGTAGAAAAAAATTGTTGCTATCATTCCTTTGAATTTAATTCACCATCAAAAACAAATCATAAACTATTATTGAAATGTATTTTCCTGTATAATTTCTAAAGATATCAACAATCTTAGAAGCAGTTGAAAATAAACATAGGTATGTTGTGCAGCAATAAAAAGAAAATAGGACTACATACCTTTTGAATATAATGCAGAAAAAAATCATCAACTGTGACTATGTATTGGGAAGTGAAGTCAAATTCTGGCCTGCAAACAAAATATATATATATATATGTATATATATATGTGCGCAAAAAAATTAGTGAGTAAAAAATGTTTTTGCATTGCTGAAAATCTGTAACTACAAGAGGATGCAGAAAATTTATTGGCTTAACCCACTTCCCAAAATCTGAACAAAATAACCAGGCATACACCAAATATTTGGGTTGGGGGAAGGTTTTTTGCTCAAGCCCAAAACTTTTTAGCACCCCCTTGTATGGCCCACTGACACTTTACTACCTTGTCTGAAGAAATTGAGAGATACTCACGTAACTCCATGAACAACTGGTGTTGCTTGGATTTCAAATTCATAAAACTCCCATGTACAAAACAAGGCAACATCATTGTCACCTAATGCCTTCACTCCATCCAATGACAAGTTGACCTGATGACAAAATGAAAAAAATAGAATTTACAAATGTATTTATAGTAAAGCTTCTAAATATTACAAACCTATACAAGCAAAAAAAAAAAAAACAGTATAAACTGGGAAAGTCTAAACCATTGGTATTTGAAATGTGGAAGAAGAGAGAAGCAAAAGAGATTCCAATTTATTGCTAGAAACATTAATTTTATATAATATTTAAATATAGCATCAATTAAAAAATATTAATAGCATTATAAATTACAAACTAATTCTTGAATTTAGCTGATTCCAACAATTTATCATTTGGGCTATGAAAGCACCATATATCTAACTATATTGTTGTTAAATAATAAGAAAAAATTTTTAATTAGAGTGAATTAAATTTAATAATCAGTCACTGTTACACCTATACTTTTAAAAGAAAATATTGTGTTTAAAGTATATATTTTATAATAGGCATACTTTGGGAAGCTTCAATTTTTTAAAACTACACTATACACAATACTCTTCTAAAAGTAGAAACAAATTACTGAAAAACTATCTAATGAGTGATTGCTAATTTATATACTGAAAATAAATAGTTTGCATTTTGTTTTGAAAATCAATCAAAGTTTAACATTTATCTACATTTCTGAGATGAGGTATTGTAACTATTAACATTATTTACATCATTCAGACTGTAGTCCTTATCTTTATTGCCATATTCCCATTTCAGACGTACACTCCAACCTTCTTCAGCTGATATACAATGGAATTTTGAACCAAACCATTTATTTAGTCTATGAGGGTAGATTGTTCTGATTCTATTAGTCATGCCTTTTTTGAATATCTCAATGCTTTTATCCACTGAAATTAGATGGTATTAAATGAATGAATAAATAGCCTTACCTTGTGGATATGAATTTCAAAAAGATTCTTTCCACGTTCCAGTTGAATGCTTTCATCCAGTTCAGTTGTTTTATCCTGTAACAGAATTCTCAATTATTCAGTTTCTTTTTTTATTTGAAGATAAAAATATAATAATAATGATAATAACCTGTGCATTTTATCAGTTATTTGTGATTATGCTGTATACAGGAAAAAATCAGAAGCAAAATCATGTGAGAAAGAAATTTTGACCTTATTTAAAATAGTGTCAATACAGAGTTGATTTTATGGTTTTCTCATTTATCTTATTGTTGTGATGAGATAACCCAACTTCCCCATTCACGATAATGGACGGACTGGTTGCCGATAAAGTACGACCACAGCGAACAGTAAAGAAAAAGGTCTTCATTTGCTAACACCTATTGAGGTTAGCATACTCCCGACTCTGGTCTCTGTATTTTGACATACCTACATCCGATTATAAAATTATTATTGAACAACCAACACTCGGGTTTACTTTGTTATTATATCTTGCACGAGATATAACACTTATACTAGCTTAAAAGCAGCCCAATAGGGCAGCATTTAAGCTAGATCCTGCAGAGGACCTTTTGATTGGGTCTTCATCACAATATATAGGGAGAAGTAGATACAACAGGCAACAATAAACTACAAAAGAACTCAATATTAACACTGCATTTAAGTATTGCATTAATATTTAAGCTTATCTTTTAAAACTTCAATGATAATTCTTCTGTTGTCACATAATTTAGACAAGAACATTTGATGTACATAGGTCCTTACTTTCCATACAAGCAATTATTTTAATTTCATGGGTGACTTTCAATAAATTTCACAATGAATTTTGATTATTCCCAAATTTATTTCCAAGTTATAAAAATTGCTATCCCAAAAACAATTTGTCACAAAAAATCATGTACAAAAACCTCCTAAAACAATCGAAGTAATGAAAACTTGGGAATCCAAAATTTCATGATTGCAGTTCCAGATCCGGCCTGAAATGTTTTTAATTTGATCACAGAGTCGGCCTGATTCCAAAATGGTATGATATGTTGGGATACAACTTCTAGGAGTAAAGTTGAAAAAGTGTGACACTGTGACACACTGACATTCACATTTATTATATGGATATTGAGGTTACAATATTAGTATGACCAATGTAATTATTTATGAGTTTAGTTTGATCAGGAACACAGTTCGTTAAGGGGCATTTGAATATGTGAATAATGTTGGTTCTTTGTAGTTTTGATTTTGTAGGTGCGTTGTTATTTTTGATGATAAGGTTAGCTGGTTTTAATTTTTGTAATAGATAATTTAATTTCCTCATTCAGGTTGACTGGGGTTGTGTATTTCTTTATAATATTTCTAAAAGAAAATATGTCTTGCTTATAGTCAACATATATTTGACTTTTGTAGATGTTAATGTTATTGTTTTTATTTCTATGCTCAGTATCATTATTAGTTACTTTAGAAAGATATAGTCTAATAGCAATAATGAACATACAGATAAAAACAATAACATTAACATCTTTTGGACATTTCTTACACACTTTGTGTTCAGAAAAGAAAAATTAAATAAAAAGCTTAATCACAGCATCTTGTCACTCATCTTTAATGAAACATATACATATATATATATATATATATATATATATATATATATATGTGTGTGTGTGTGTTTCATTGAATAATATAAACATATTGGGTCTACTTATTGTTATACTGATCCTTTCCAGCTGTCTAATAAGTTTCATGATGTTAAGATTAAATTCAACAAGGAAGATGCTGTAGTTTTTGTAACCCAAGTACTTTTGACGCAAAATAAAAAATTTATAACAATAAAGCAAAAATTTGTCAAAAAATTATTAAACTGCTCCTAAGCTTAATTTATTTTAAATCACAGAAATATGCAAGAGAAAAGAATAAAATCTTTTTAGTCAAAAAGTTTTTATTCCAAAAATTTGTTCACAGTTAAAGATAATTTTCCAGCACATACAGGCAATAACAAATTCAAATTAGTTTGTCCAAGTAAACAGAAAATACTTTTTTGTAGGAGCATTTGTTTTTCAAAATAGCCTTTTAATAATAAAACCTTATCAGAAGAAAAATTCAATAAAACCTTTATCTTAATTTGGGAATAAACTTCCAGGTAAATTATGTCTGATCAACTTACCTGCTCTGTAGACATATTTAACTTGATTTGTTTGGTACCATAAGCAACATCTCGTAACTGGGATTCCAACTTCTGTAACAAAAGATAATGACATTTGTGCTGTAATAAGCCTGTAAGATCTCTATACTAAAGAAAATGAGAAAATTTATTAGAAAAAGTGAACGCCATTAAGGTGGAGGTCATATCCAAATATAATTATTTATTCATGTTCAAAACAAAAGCAAAAGATATGTTCACTGGATATTGATTTGTTGTATTTTGAACTATCGAGTTAAATTCTTAGCACAACACTTTGAAACAAGCAAAGAAAACAAAAGTCACTAAAACAATAGACAATTCTTCTATTTAAAATACAATTCATATTATTTAGTTTAAAAACTTCAGTGTGGAGTGAGTAGCCATTGTCAAATGCAAAATAAATAACAGAACTGTCCAACAAAGAGAATTGACAAAAGTTTGCAATAAACAATAACAAGAAAAAGAAAAGGGATGGGCAAAAAAATAATATAAAGCAAGTAAAAATGTATGCAAGACAAATCAACAGTAATATGGCAAAAAGTTCAAAAAATAAGAATTGGTGTTGACACACAAAAGCAAGTTTAGACAAGCAAAAACAGGATTTTGACTTCAAGAAAAGACAGATGAAACCACAAACCAGCCTATTTTATTGGCTAGGAGAAAATCCCAGCATGCATTTGTGTGCTTCTGCCTATAAAAGGGGAATGGAAAGTGTTTTGCCATCATTCCTACAGGTTGAAATTAACATTCAGGCTTGAGTGTGTTTTCCGTTTTGTTTCTTTATTAATCATAATTTATTTTTTAAATAATCTTTATCTTTAAAATAAAAACTGTACAAATAAAATGAAAATAATAAAAGAAGAAATGTAAAAAAAAGGACAAGTAAATACATTGAAATATTATAGACTTGTACAGAATGTGAGGAGAAAAATACAAGGACACAAGCCAAATAATCTTATTCATGACTACAAATATTAACTACGATTATTTTTGTCTTAATTTTTGAGAGATGGAATTATCATTATTATACATCGATTTGCTCAGACAAGGTAAGGGACTCTAATCTTGGGTGCTACAAGTGCCTATCACAGTTAATAACATTCTAAGGATTTTGAACTAAAGCCTTTACTCAATCCACAGGAGTAGATATTTTCCTTTCACTGTCCATACTAGAAGCTATCTCATATCACTTGATTCTCATAAACCTAATGTCACTTTCCTGTTGTCACTACAATTAAACTTGTAGTATAATTAAACTTTGAAAGTTGTAAGAACCACAGATCTTCTGAATCTTTTCTGACACGTCCCTAATGTGAGGTAGACTGTGGCAACATAATGACTACTACCCTCAATATTTATATCACTACTCATGAAAGCTGATGTCATGCTTGCAGGAGAGTTGTTGCTTTGAAGACTGTTTCTAATGCTAACCATCTCCTGTTGACATCTGTCTGCATCAATACATATGAGTTTTGTTTGATATTTTAATTAATGGACAATCTCTTCCTTCACATTACTTCCAGGATGGATCCTTCTTTAACTTGCAGTAACTACGGCCTTCAACTAGGCTTGCCAAATCTTCTTCTTTGAAAATCTCTAAGACACAGGCTGATGAAACTGAAAGTGAGGCATATGCTGGAAAAAGCCAAGTCTCCAAAATAATGGTCGAATACTCAGAACAACTGGCAAACCAAGTTAGGAATGGTAGCTCCAACAAGTTAAAGAAAGATCTGACCCTGAAAACTGAAAAGCTGTCAAATATTCTGGAAAAAAAAACAAGGATAATTTCCTACTGAATGAATCCAGGCAACTGACTCAACATTATAGAAAGTTACCACATATTCATTTTCCACCAAATTCACAGAAACAGAATTCCTATTATGGCATATAGTCAGTTATCAGGTTCAGTATGGCATCCAATGAGCAGAATCCTTGTAGATATAGTTAATTCATTAAGAGGCAAGTTTCTGTACTATGGGAACTGCTAACTTTGTAGAGACAAAAGTGGTTTTATTCATTCCAACCTGATAGTGAGTTTGAATGTTTTGAGTCAGTTCATCAAGATTCTCACATGAATCACTGTGGTTCAAGATAAATGAAAACTGGGGCTCTCACTTGGAAAATCTACTAATTTTCTTAGAGATGATCTTATGGAGATGTTGATGTTCTATGTAGAAATAACGTAATTTCCAGTTAGGTTCTGAAATATGTCATCGAGAAGGCTTGGTTATAAATTCACCATTACCTCAGGTGATGGCAAATATACATGAAAATGGCTTTAACAACATCAAAAGAATCAACCTAAATATGACAGAGATATATAAATGACACCTTCATACCCTGACCACACCAGAAAGATATGTAAGTACTGCTAGACCATGTGAACTCAGTAAGACCTTCAATATGATTCCCAATGGAAATGGAATATAAACTGGCCTTCTTGGATGTGCTAATAACATGCAAAGTATGAGCTCAAGATTCATATAGCATAAGCCAACATAAACCAAGCAATAACTGAACTTTGATTCCCACCATCCACACAGCATTAACAAAGGGATTGTCTGCTGCCTACATTGAGCAAAGCTCCAAAGTAGCAGTCTAGTCGCATACCAACAGGAGATGATTATCATTAGAAATACCATTCTGATCAACATTGTCCAGCAAACATAACACCAGCTTCTATAAGTCAAGATATAAAAACTGAAGACAATAATCCACATATTCTCTAGTAGAATGAGAACAATCTACCTGTCATGAATTAAATAAAGGGTTTAGTTTGAAATCCTAGAATGTAATCAACAATAATAAACAAATTATTACTAAGATTAGTTTGATACAAAGTCACACCCATTAAAGTCTAGCTAAGTAACTCTTGCTTCACCCTGAGCATCTATTCATGACTCCCAAAACCAAAATCATCCAATAAAAATAATTAATGATCATATTAGTTATTGCATATCTAACAGCAATAAAATTATCAGTGTCACCCTGAAGACATATTAATATTTCTCATCTTTCACAAGAATTTCCTTTTAACTCAAAACTAATTAAGCCTGAGGCTATTATAGCCTAACACATCTCAGTAAATGATTAGGTTTCATTAGAAAACAAAAATAAAACTAGAATGTTATTTATTATTCAGACAGCAACAATGGAAGCACATAAAAATCATATTACACTCAATATGCACATAGATAATTTGATTTCAAAAGGTCTGAATACAGTATCATTTGTTGAAACACTCGATGTTTAATGAGTCAATTTTTACTATCCATTCAGAATAAATAAAAATCTGCTTTCGCTACTGTAATGAACTTCAGATTGTGTGTGTGTGTGTGTATATATATATATATATATATATTACCAAGATCTACAATAACATTATTTAAACTTGCACTGTCAAAATTTGTAATATGCATATGGTACAAACAGATCAGAGTGTATTTAAAAAAGTTTGAAATCATGAAAAAGTTAAAAAACATTGTTAATCAGATAATTTAATTTGTTTCTTTCATTTTCCAAGGTATTTAATTTTTAAAAGGTTATTTTTTAAGCTTCAAAATTGTCTATTTTTCTTTTCGTCAATATTCTCAGAATGCTTTGAAGATATTTTTTTCAATAACTTGTTCTGTACATGAACTCTCTGGCAAATTTCTTTATGTTTATCCTCACATGCTGCATGAAAAACATCTTGTGAGAAAGACATTTAACAGACCATCTCGACACTACAGGTATGAAATAATCAAGCATAATGTATATAAGCTCCCAAGTAGAATGATCCATGAAACTTTTACACATTTCTTAACAAATGAAATAAAAGTATGAAAGTGACCTTTATTCGTGCAGCCCTAATATCCAAGAGGCTGGCATATTCACTTAATTTCAAGTCACATTCTCTCTGCATGTTCTCGAATTTATGATGAGCATCATCAACCTGCAAATATACAAGCAATTTCTTTTGTAAAATATCTTTCAGGCAAATTTACTGTAAGCTGAAAAGAAAATAAACAAAATGCAAGTGAGTAATATTACACATTTAATAAAATCATTATCTGCTGCAGTTCATAATTAAGTTCAACATGTCAAACCATGTCTTTATCCTGAACATTGAACAAGATGAAGAGAGATTTATTTTAACATGTAGCCCATTAGCAGAGGAAAATGTATATTGTTCTTATTCATATACTAAACTGTTAACACTCTTAACATAAATAAAAGTTTGATTTTAACAGATCATGACAGTTATTAGAGAGATGTATTTAAATATATTTTAATGTTTAAAAAAAATTATTCAGTATTATTATTGTTTAGGTAATAAACATTATAACATTGCAGAAATAGCTATATTGTAGAAAAAGGAATTTTTGACAATATACACATTTTTTATGCATTTATGGTTATTTTTAACTTTTATCAAAAACAACATTCTTGTACATGTAGTTATGAATAATATTAGATATTAATTATTAATTTTTTTAATTAATAACTATTTATGCTCAGTTGTTGACATTAATATCTATCTTCTGATGTGTTAGAATTTTAGAATAATGCAATAATAAAAATTTAAATTTCATCTGATAGATGTTGTGATCTGTAAATTAAAGAACTTCATTTTTTCTACACAATCTAAAATTTACAAAACCCCGAAGGTAAATCAGTTTGTGTATGGCCTAAACCATTTGATAAATACACGGATGTTTGATCAAATAAATTGATAACATATTTGATATTAGAGTGATAAATATTGTATGAGTAACTTTTGCTAAATATGGAAGAGTATAAGGTCAAAACATTGCAAGCAGAATAGGGATGCACTGATTACTTGATTGATAATCAGTAATGTAATTACTCTCAATAAAGATTGGCAAACAAAATAATGAAATACTATCAAATATTATTTAAATTCATTCTATGCCTAAGATAACTGACGAGTCTTTAGCCAGGGATAATATTTGTAATACAACAAGAATTGCCAAGTATGAGAACTCATTAATCAGCTAAAAAATGACCAACTAATAATCAGCCATTTAATCATTGCTACCTTAAAATAAAAGATTAATTGATAAAGCACTTCAAAGATCAGAGATTTTTTTATTAAAACATGTTAGATGAGGAATTACCATTGTTATATGCTTTGCTATTTGGACTAGCACATTCATCTTGTTTGTTAGACTCACAATATTTCAGCTATTACACTTTCCAACCTTCTTCAGGTGTCTGTCTTCATACTTTATAAATTTCTTAGAATTTCAAACCAAATCCTTTATTCAGTCCATGGAGATAAATTGTTCTCATTCTGCTTTTTAAGATTAAGTGGCTTCTAAAAAAAAATATAAAAACTGCACTCTATTGTTCATCTTAAAGAATCTTTTTTGCCTTTCATCAGCATGGCTGATGCTAACTTCCATAGGTGCAACTCACTGCACCTCCTTCACCTCAAGTTTTCCACTGACATGAAGTGGAATGATTATATTGAATAAACCGAAAAGTTTGCTGCTAGGAAAGTTAGTTCACTATGTCGTACTAGACAATTTTCCTTGATAAGTCTACCATCCATCTGTGCATTGAATACTGTTGCCACATCTGGTCTGGTGCTTCTGTTTTATATATAGAGATTCTTGACAAAATCCAAAGTAGAACCAGCAACATTATGGGTCCTGAACCTGGCATCTCAGCATCAGTTTTTTTCCCACTGCTGTAACATAGCTTCCTTTTGCCTCTTCTATAAATATTTTCACAGTAATTATTCTGATGAACTTTCCTCATTGGCACCTTGATTTCACAAATTTATGTGCAGCACTAGATTGGAAGCTAAGTCTCATAATTTTACCACTGAAATTGCTAGTAACCATAAATTCTATGCTAATAGTTTCTTCTTTCACACTTCTTGCTTGTGGAACTCCCATCCGGCTTCCTGCTTTCCTGTCAACTCAATCTTTAAAAATTTAAATGTATTGTCAATCATCATCTTCTGTTTCTTTGAATCTTGTTCTTTTATTATCCTCTGTTTCTATCACTCTCAATAAACCCCTGCATCCTAGTGGCTTTTTACTGTCTTGCTTGGGATGAAAGGATTAAAAAAAGGATATTATTCACCTTTGTGTTATTTATTCATTTCTTCTACTGAACTTGAGTGTGTAAGTTTCCAACACTACAAGTCTCAGCAATTGAGCTTACAAATGCTTTGTGAATTAAAATAATAGTTAAAAAATATCAGGCTCCCTGGTAGTTCTGAGTTAAATCCCAAATAGCAAAGCATAATATATGAAAAGATACATTTAAATTAAATTTTAATACTTCTGTTCACTTCTGTTTTTAACTAGATGTTTTTTTTTTTTAAATTAAATGTTAACAGTGAAAATGCAGGCATAACTAATTCAGTAATTCCATAACCTAAAGAAGAAAAAAAAACATTTATTTTACAGAAGAAATATTTTTCAACACAATAATCTCCTTTATACATATACTTAATACCTCTACATTAATCTTATAGATCAATTATAGTGAAAATTTCAAACCAAGATTCCACTAATAACTCTCAAAGGTTATAGACATATTTATCCCCCTTCATACCTTGTAACTTACAAAAGTTTTTTTATAATAAAAGAATAGAATGCAATACATTTAACAAATAAACCTTCTAATTAGAATTCTAGATTTAATTTTGATTAAAATTGCTATTTCAACAAAAGACAAGCAAAAATTGATTTTTCATAAAAACTTTTTACTGTTATTTGCTCTGCAAATATTTCCCTTTGCAGTACAACAGTTTTACTTGAGAAAAATTCCAACCATTCATTGCTGTAAATTTTTCTTTTTTCTACAAATAAACAAAACATTAAGGAAATCATTAAGGTACTGTAGAGTAAAGGATTGTGACTTGGATTGAGGAATCGGAGAGCCAAGTCCAAACTCCAGTCAAGTTAATTTATGTGCTAATATCATTGGGAAAGTTCAATGAATCCAACTCTTCTCCCCAACCTATTGGTAAATAGTCAAACAGATGTTCTATAGTCTTCGATGGAAACCAGTATAGTAGATGGAAAACTCTGAATTCAAAACTGTATGTAGCCCTAGCAAAGTACATACTATGCAACTAAGGAAAGGACCATTTGCATTTACTTGATGAACCCAACTACTGTTGAATCCTTTTAAGGAAACCAAAAGAATCTCTATTCATACCAGATAAAATATTTCCTTGAGTTTGTTAATGCTTATTACAGTCCTAATTGTCATAACTTAAAGCAAATAATTTCAAAAATTACTACTCTTGTTACCTCCTAATATAATTCAACTTTTAATGTTTTATTATAACATCTGCATATACAAAAGTTTAAAATCTATAAACAAATTAATCTCTGTAAACTGTCTATATAAATTTAGTTATTCAGTGTTCTTAGAAAATTAAAAACGTTAATTAAAAATGTTTACTTCTTTCTGGTAGTCTTTGTTGATTTTGTGTTGCAAGATTAACATGTTTCGTGTCTTCTCCAGTTCATGAACAGTTTCAGCAAACTCAGATTCCAATTGTTGGACCCGCTGATTGGTGGCTACACAAAAATAAATTGAGACATAAAAGCAGAAGCAATACGAATTCACAATTAACATTATTCAAATCGTTATGATAAAGTAGCAGTTTAACATGTTAGATAAGATTTTCTGTATATTATTCATAATAGTAGAACATTACATCCATTATTGACCATTGACAATGTTTTGATTCTCAATGAATTTATACACATCCTTACCAAAACTCTATATAAAATCCATATAAATTTAGTGGAAGGTACTATTAAACCCTGTAAGATACACAAAACTGAGCATTTATACATCATTTATAATGGTTGATTAATAAGATCTCCAATCTTAAAAAAAAGTTCTTAGACTAAAGAGAATAGTAAAACAGATATCAAAATGAAGTAAATGCCTCTTCATTTTCCAAACTAATCACCAGTGCAAGACAATCTTTCTATACATTCTATGCACTTTTTTATTCCCTCCATTAAGAAAGCTACAAGTTTACTTTTGATCCATTTGCATACACCATCTTCAATTTTGACAAAGGAAGAAAAATTTTGACCTTTCATTTTTCAGAAACCAGAAGACTGATGGCGCCAAATTGGGTCTTTGCAGATGATGTGCAACAACTAAGATTTTCAGTTTTTGCACTATTTGTTCATTACAATACAGTTTTGTATCGTCATGATACAAAATAATAGTTTTGCTTTCAGGCCTTATTCTGTGGATACATTGTTTGTGTGTTTGTTCTAAATTAATTGTCATTCTCTTTGGCAGAAATTCATTACCATTCATTACCAAATGAGCAAACACCAGAATTTTTTTAGAATCACTTTTAGTTGGAGCAATAACTTTTCAACATCTGTTTGTATGTTTAATTCACTATATATAAATATATTAATATTTTGTTTATATGTTATTTTTATAGATACAATTATTTAAGTAAATGCTCTGTTTATAATAAACAGTATTAATTATATTTACAGGTCTGAATGTCCAAGAAATTAAAATAATTGTTGGATTTAGTCCATTTCATAATATATGTTGTCATTTGTTTACATTAAAATGTGCTTCAAGCAGATATGAACAGTCAAGGAAAAATAATGGGAAATTTGTTGTTTAAAAACAGTAATTTGACTAACCAGACACTTTTTCTGTAGCTAAATTGTATAGCACATCAGGCTATATGACGGTTCCATGTAGGATACAGGTTTGATACCTGTTGGGACATACATATTTTCTAAAAAATTTCTCAGACATTCAGGCCCATAAATGTCATTAACACTGTTTTTTATAAACAGATTTTACTTAAATAATTGTATCTATAAAAATAACGTCTAAACATAAAATATATTAAAATAATTGTCGGACTTAGTCTATTTCATTATATATATATATATATATATAAATTAGTAATTAATGCATGGTTTTGTGGTGTTATTTTCTCCTCTTAAACTAATGAATTGTATTTAATTTTTTGAATATGTAATAATCTATCAAGATTTACCTATTAATTAACCCTCATCATAGCATTTCTGTATTTTACATATATATGTGTGTGTGTGTGTGTGTGTAAAAATGGATCAATAAATCCATTTCCTGATATACAGTTATTAACTAAATTTTGACCTGAAATATTCACTGTATAATATTCAATCTATTTAATTAATAAAGATTGTTGTTGATTTTTTTTTTACAGCTTATGAACTATTTCGTAGTTATTTAAAGCCAGAAAATATATTTAGATAATATAATGTTTACAGCAATAAGAAATAATATTGTATTATAAATAAAATTCATTAATTACTTAAAATATTATACTTCCCAAAATCTGTCCAAGCAACTACAGATGAGACATTTTTTAATACTTTCTTGGTCAAGCTGAAAACCTTTTAACATCCTCTCATATATGATAAAAATTTAGTTTTATTGTATGCTATATTTAGGGGTAAAAGTGTTCAATACCAGGGACAAAGCATATGTAAATATAAAAGTGGACATTGAGGTCAACACTGAGAAGCGACAGTTTGTTTCATGCTTGAATGCAGTCTTCAGTCCTGAGGATTGTGTTCAAGCATTGAAGATTATCCAATATCTTCAATATGCCCTTATCAAAGAGTTTTATTTTTTGTGTTCATAGGGTGCTGTTTTGTCTGCATATGCATTGTATTTTCTTTGATAGTTTTCATTTCTTCATATGCTGGTGGTCATCATGTCAATTCATTGTTTTGTCATTTAATTTTTTTTATTATCAACTGTAAAGTATATTTAGTATGTTTATTCCTAAATTGAAAGAAATTTTATCAATGCTGAGTTAATTGTTTTTATAGAAAAATTAAATAAAAGATATCTTTCACTGATTTTCAATCATAATCCACATAAATAAAAGATTGCTGTCCAAATACACTATATATATATATATACACACACACACATATACACACACACACACACAAACACATATATATATATATAAGATTTCTGCATAATACATATGTAAACATAATAAATTTTCACCTTTATCCATTTCAACATCAACCTTCTGTACAAATTCAGGAACTTTATTGACATCTTGATGTTTACTGCGCACTAACATTAGAGCCTCTTCTAATTCAATTAAGTCCACAGAGCTTTTCTGAAAATAAAAAATATTTCATTGGTTTAAGAGATCTAATGTGTGTCTCAGAAAATCTACTTTCAAGTTCATATATATAATTATGTTATCATCTATAAATAAATATATTCACATTTCAATCACAAATCTTCATAAGAAGTAAATTATCAAAGATAATTGTGGCATATTAATCATATATATTCAACCAGGCTTTTTTAATGCTCTCTATGTATATTTGAAAATCTTTTCTCTTAAGTGATACAGTCAAGACTTCCTAATATTTTATGAATATGATTAACATTTCTTCTTTTAAACATTTTCTTTACAAAAAACAGACCTATTTTTCATTTTGAATACGATTTGATTTTAATTGTTATCAAATTTAGACATATATCACTTTTTCAATATTTACATCACAAAATAAAAAAAATCAATGCATTTATATTTAGACACGGTAAAATAAGGTATAATCAATGTTTTTAAATTGTGATTCTATTGATTTTCAAATTTGGTCACTGAGAACTTCCATTATTTATTCTGATGTTTAAATTACCCACACATTATAATCTGAATAAAATTAAGAATGATCATTTAAATTAGCAACCTTTTATTTTTACTTTAATCCATGGCAACAGTTCATTAACTCAAAATAAGCACTGATATATATTTGCTATCAATGATTTGTAACAATCATTTTTATAGTCAATATTTTGCTTTTACTGTTTGGACTAACATGCTTTTTAATAAAATTTGGCTGTCAAAGTGCATGACTGATTGAAATATCTCAAATTATATTGGAAACAAAACTGGATGAAAAGAAAGTAAACTTTATATAATTAATGACAATTTTATGTCTTCTCCTAAAAATGGTTACCATATTGTTCAGTATCCCAATTCAAAACACTGAGATCATAATATCAAATTATTTTTTAATGTCATGTCCCATCAGGACATAGACAATCATTGCTCTCCACAGCTTTTTTTCTTTATAATGGCTATGTCTTCTTGAGAAACATAGTTGAGTGAGTTTCCGTTGCTTTTTCTATGGTTTGGAATTCAGAGAAGTCCTTCTCCTAGACTGGCTGTCACCCAAGTTCACCTTGCTGCTTAATCCATAGATTTTGAACTCAGATCACCAACTTAACATTATGCTACTAGTACATCCATCAAATTAATACCTGAATACAAATGAAACTGTCTCTGACTAGAACAATCTTTAAATCAATTTTGTGCTCATGTAAATAAAGTTTCTAAATAACTTAATCTGAATTAATGAAATAGGCACACAAATATCAATAATGGTTTCAAGGCAATTTTCTATCAGACACTAACCAGTAATGGCTTTTCAATGGCTAATCCCTCATAGGCATTTTCTACATTTCATACTTTTTATTCTTACATACAAGCAGCCACTGCTCAATAACATGACTATGCCTTCATTACTGATACAAAGTTGCATTACAGATTCAGCCATTAAGTCTCCTATTACTACCCCTTGACCTTCTGGGAAGGATATAAGTATACATTATGATACATATATATATAAGTGTAGACATAGATCACTTACATCAGTAAAGAAACTCATCTTGTTCTTTAAGTCATCATATTCTTCTTTCAACTGGAAATATTCAATGCGTACTTCCTTCAATTTTTGTTCTGCTGCTTCATGTTCAGCTGCAACCAAAAATATCACAACTATCTCAATGTCTTCTAAGACACAAATGTAAACCAAATATGAAAAACCTCAAAGTTTTTTTTTTATTATTTATATTCTTTTCAACAAATATTCTTAACTAATGGACTTAGTTCTTAAAGCTCAAAAATGTTTGCATAAATTTTAAAGAGACAAATTTCTACTAACTGAAAAGAAATTCAAAGTTAAAAAAGTTTCTATCTATTAAATAGATAATTAAAAAAATCTAGTCACTAGGAAAACTATTTTTGTTCACTCAATACAAGGCCCAAGAGCCACTCAAGATAAAAGCTTATAAAGGGTTACTATCAATCCAGTTAGTATTACAGACTGAAATGTTATTCATGTGCTTTGAATTTTTGGACATTTAAATTATTTCTTTCTTTAGTTTCAATTTCAAATTTATTATTTCTGTTAAAATAAATTCTGTAAAATATATATTCTATAAAATTATATTTCACATGAATTTAATCTGAAAATCTATACTATATACTCATATGATCATGAGAGAAAATGAAAGATGGTCACTTTAGTAGTGAACTGAAAATTTGGTTAATTCAACAAATAGATTCCATTTTCTTAAACAAATATCTCCAAGAAAACTAGCCAACTTCAGTTACTTTAATTTCCTCAATCCATCTGTTGTACATAAACAATCCCTTGCTTGATTTGTCTTGTATCACTGATAGTTTATGGTTTACTTTTCAAGTATTTTCCAGCTTTTTAAGACATTAATATTCAAAGTACATCTACTTTTGAGTGGCAAATCAGTTTTGAATAAATGAAATTAAAGAAGTTATCTACTCATATATTTTTCAAATTTCTCTTCTAAAACTTCTGCATTCTTAAACATGATAAAAATCACAAGTTACCTATTTCTGTATTGAGCCTGTCTATCACATTGCCTTTTTCGCCAAGGTCTGCTTTCAAAGTGGCTTCCAACTGTGCAAGCTGTACTTTAAGAGCACATTCCCTCTGACGCCATTCCCTTTCACGTTGCATATCAAAGGCACTGTGGCAAAAAGCAAATAAAATTTTGACTTTAAAAGAATCTTTCAACAAAACTATCAATCTTAATAAATTCAATATTTATGTTTGGAGAGAGAGAGGCAGTTACAACGTACAAGTAATTTTCCTGATGAGACAGAAGAGGAGCATGGCCAGGATACACACCACAGAGCTGAGAACCTCCATTTGAAATCCAGAGAGAGTGACCAGAAAGCGGATTAAACAACCCACCACACACCAGAAGGAAGAATAGCAACAATTCGACCAGGATGTGAGTGATATTAAGAACTATATTGAAAGGGGACACAGTAGATTATATACAATAACAACTATCATCATTAGTTACACATCAGAGAGATTTGGTTATGTTCAAATGAAGCACAAAAAAGAACACAGAAATAACCATCAAGAGAAGAAAATTTACCAGTTGAGACACAAGCTAAAATCTGTAAAGAGACAATACAAACAAGCAAATGAAATGGAAAATGTGCCTCTTTTGGAACTCAGATATATTGAGGAAAAAACTTAGAACTCTTTGTAGAGTAGAAAGTCACAGAAAATGTGCGAAAGTGAGTGCTAGGAAAAGATCTACCTTTATTTCAAACCCTTTTGGTTTTACGAAGAGGTTACTCGGAGATAAGAGAAATGGTAATCTTGAGTGTACAGTGAAAGAAATAAATTCTTTCCTACAAAAAATACTCAGTGACCAAGAGAGAGGAAATAATCTAGGCAAAAACGATGCAATTGTGCACCCTGAACCACCAGAAACAGGTTTCAGCTTAAGGGCACCGGCCTTGAAAGAATCAAAGGAAGTCATATCGGCAGCTAGATCAGCTTCGGTCCCAGGACCCAGTGATGGTCTGTATAGTGTCTATAAGAGATGTTTGAATATTCAATTACATGTCTGGAAGATATTAAAAATAATTTGGAAAAGAGGTAAAGTTGCAAAACAGTGGAGGTTCGCTAATGCAGTATGGATTCCTAAAGAAGAAAATTCAAAAGGAATTGAACAGTTTAGAATGATTTCTTTGCTGGACCCTGAGAACAAAATTTTCTTCAGCATCTTGTCTCAATGACTTCAGCATAATCTATGTGCCAACAATTACATAGACACTTCAGTATAAAAGGGAGGGATTGCCGCTATCCCAGGTTGTCTGGAGCATATTGGCATGATAACATAGCTCCTAAGAGAAGGGAAAGGTGATCTCGTCGTACTGTGGCTGGATCCACCTAATGCATATGGATCCATTCCACACAAATTGGTCGAGGAAGCTCTCAGAAGATACCATGTTCCTATTTGTGTAAGAAATCTCATACAAGATTATTATAATGATTTTAACATAAAATAACCACTGATTTGATATCTTTCAATTGACATTGGCTAGAAAGGGGAATTATAACTGGATGCCCTATCTCAGTGATATTATTTACCTTAACAATGAACATGTTAGTAAAATCAGTGAGGTCCAGTGATGTGAAACGGAGTACAACAACCCCTAATTCATGTATATATGGATGACCTGACAGTGACTACAACCATAGTCCCTGAATGTCAGTGGATATTGCAAGGTTTAGAAAAGCTAATGACATGGGCAAGAATGAATTTTAAACCAACAAAATCAAGGTCATTAGTACTGAAGAAAGGGATTGTGATAGAAAAGTTGCATTTCAAAATTGCAGGAACTATTATCCTGTCAATAAAAGAAAAGTGTCTGGGGAAAATTTTCAATGTTAATTTAAAAGATAGTGATGCTACCGAAAAATGTTTTCCAGACCTTGAAGCAATGTTGAGTAAAGTGGACAAATCAGGTCTACCATGCCGTTTTAAGCCATGGATATACCAACATACCATTCTGCCAAAGATTCTGTGGCCACTGATGTTATATGAAGTGGCACTGACAACAGTTGCGAAAATGAAGAAAAAAGTGAGTGGATATTTGAGAAAATGGTTCAGCTTACCAAGGAGTTTAAGCAGTGCAGTTCTGTATGGAATTTTTAACACATTGCAACTTCCCTTGAGAGGATTAGTGGAAGAGTTTAAAGTGGCAATGATGGGGAAGGTAATCCTATATAAGGATTCAAAAGATCCTAAAGTTACAGAAGCAGGCATTGAGGTTCAAACTGGGAGAAAGTTCAGTACAGGAGAGCAAAGATTAAGGCAGAAAACACTAGTAGAAACAGTAGCAGTGGAAAAATCAGGCCTAGGTTCCAATCCATGAGGAAGAGAAAAAAGGGAAGATCATAAACACTGTCTTCAATATGAAGTGAGAGCAGGTGTGGAAGAAATTAGATCAAGTAAAATGGAGGCTATAGGCCAACAGGGGGCCTTGACAAGATGGAGAAAACTGGAAAAAAGGAAGATTTCCTGGACAGATCTCTGGGATACCAATCCCAGTAATACAAGCTTCCTTGTGCAGGCAGTGTATGATACACTACCCAACCTGACAAACTTCCACATGTGGGGAAAGATTGTGTCTCCACTTTGTCCATTGTGCAGTTAGAGGATAAAGAAATAGAGGACCCCCCCACCCAACACATATTGAGCAGTTGCCCCAAGGCACTAAGCGAGGGGAGGTACCAGTGGTGCCATGATAATGTTTTAGGAGTCCTTGCAACAATAGTATCAAGGAGCCTAAAACAAAACATATATGAACCGAATAAGAAGACAATGAATTTTGTCAAAGCCAGAGAAAAAGTAAAGACATCTCAGAAGAAAACATCCCTCCTTAGCTCTGCACCAGACTGGCAATTGAGAATAGATATAGGCAAGCAGCTTAAATTTCTAGTGGAAATAATACAAACTAAGATTTGTCCAGAAATGGTTATTTATTCTGTAAAGACCAAGCAAATGATCATGTTAGAATTAACAGTCCCTTGGGAAGAAAATATGGATGAAGCCCATGAAAGGAAGCTTGGGAAGTATTTACTGATTGTAGAGGAATGTAAAAGACATGGTTGGCAAGCTCAGTGCGAACCAATTGAAATCAGTTGCAGAGGCTTTGCTGGGCAGTCTCTATGTAAGTTATTACCAAAATTAGGTGTAACAGGTTTGGTAAAAAACAAGGCTATTCGCTCAATAACATTGGCAGCGGAAGAGGCTTCTAGATGGCTTTGGTTAAAAAGATTAAGTGATTGGCAGTCAGTAAGGAAATGAAAGAAAGTCATGGTTGATACATATATTTTTTTTGCAGGAGGATCTTGGGTATGACCTAAAACTATGTCCAACAATGGAGTCCCGACTAGGGGACAGAATTAGGTTACCTTGAACCACTGTTACCTACGGATGATCCCTGGTTAAGATCTAGCATATGTTTGCACCCTCCTACCAAGGTTATTATATTTTTTATTTTAGATGTTTGTGTTGGTGTGTGTGCATGGTGGCACTGATATGTGCATGCATGGGTGTAAGTCATATAGGTGGAGGGTCAAGGAGTAAAATAAAATAAAAAAGTGTGAAGGAAATAATATTTTTTTTCTTTTTCTTTAGTGGATGATTAACATGTATGAAAATGCAGTAAGTGTAAGCAGAATGTGAGGCTTGAGCGTGTTTCTCTATGTGTGCACGCATGCGCATGTGTGTCTATGTCTCAGTGAGGGGAATCAAATTGGTACTTACCATTTCATACCAAGCACACCACCATATTCCTGATCAGTTAGAAATTGTGGCTGCATTTGCTTCCATTTTATGGAAGAGCATACATTGCTAGTGAACCAGAAGTCATCCGGGATTGAACAATAAATTGCCAAGAAGAGTTGCATGGTTTGTAGTTTGGAAGATGGAAAAAAAATTGTAGCTGATGGAAGGTACACAAGTCGATACCTGATCAGTATCGGCTGGTCACCATGGAGAGAGGGTATGATGTTGAAAGACCTGAAACCCCTAATGAAACTTGACTAGAAACATCACTGATGATGTGTGCTAAAGCATCCAATAGATGTATTTTACGAAAAGGAAACAAGATTGATTTTGACATTCTAATATATTTAATATTTGCCTTGCTAGAAAGAATAACTGAAGTGCTCTTTTTTGGAGGCTTTTAGTGCAAAAAGCACTTCAAAAACTTAAGATTAGCTAAAGCTCTAATTTGAAATGACATTTTGGTCAATATAGTGAAAAATTTTCTAAAGAATATTAATAAAAACATTAATGGGAAAATTAGTTAAAAACCATTTCTTTAATCAAAATGGAATTAAAAAATACTTAGAGATGTCTGTAATCAGGTGGCATTCAAAACTAATTAGAGAAATAAGTGCTGTAATTTTCTGAAGGTAAATCTATCAAGTGAGAAGTAATAACTTTTGTCTCAATGTTCAATAAAAGCAAGATAATTGCCTAAGGATCTTTCAGTCAGGTAGTGATATGCACTTAGATGACCAGGAACCTTGGATATATGCTTGCATATTCACAAACCTACCCAACTAGCAAGGTTATTGACACAAGAATAGTACATCTGAGTTGCTGCAATATTCTACAGTCAAAATAATTTTTAATGGGATTACTTATCCCATCTCAGTTGGAGAAAAAAGGAAAGAAAGAAAATACATGGCAAATAAAGAGATAAGTAAAGGATTCTCAGAAATAAAGGAACAGATACAATCGATAAAAAGAAAAAGATTTCCACAAAAATAGCAAAGCTAATAGTAAAAAAAAATAAAAGAAAAAGATGTCCTTAAAGAAGAAAGTTTGAAGCAAATTCACTCAGCAAAGAAAGTAAGAAAAAAGTTTCTCTAAAAAATATGCAAAACATGGTGAAGAAAAAGTAAAAATGTAATATTTCATTGCAATCCATTCATTTTGAGACAAACAAGACAATCAAAATTCACTGGAAAAAAGAGAGAAAGAAACTGCTTATCCTAAATGCTTATGGTGAAAGGAAAGGAAGACAAAACAATGTAGTTAAAAAGAAGAAAACAGAGAAATAAACTGAAAATGAACAACAAACAAAAGGAAAACAATCTTAAATTAATTAGGTTCATTTAACATTTAAAGATGACAGATTAAATGATTCATGTTTCATTCCTAATATATAGTACTACACAAATAGGAGAGGAGGATATCTTTATCTCTTCTCCTGAAATGCACTGTCTTCAAGATAGTAAAATAGAAATCAGAATTTAAAAGAAATTGTCCATGTTCATTTCATCTTTCAATTTATACAATGATACATGTTATTTATCTCTGTTCTATAGAACCAACATGAAAGAGTGTGGAGAAATAGCAGATCAATTAGCAGCCAGAAGATAATCATAAAAAAGAATGATCATGATCCTAACTGATAAAATGACCAGAAGAGAAATGTGTCACAATCAGAAGGCCTCAGCAACCATCAGGGAACAAGTGACAACAACACTCATCCATGCTTTATTAATAAGATGTTCTCAATGCCATCCCTTTAACAAAGAACTGTCTAATATTTCATAATGGAGACAAGTGACATTAAGTTACATGATATGAAGTCTATTCATTTATTTTTATTAAGTAGCTTTTCTGGTCTGAATTATATGGAATGACAAGGAAAAATATATTTGATAAAACAGTCCATTTTAAAGCAATTAACAACTTACCTTCGTGTCAATTTTTCATTCGAATCAACTAAAAGTTGTTTATCATTTTGTAAACCAGCAATTTGCTCTTGAAGCTAAAAAATGTCAAAGAAAAGTTAATACACTTAAGACATTTCAGTATTTTCTGTTTAAACGTTTTAATTTTAAAAATGTTAGCAATTCACTTTGTAAGATGAAATAAGTTTGTGTTTCAATTATGAAAATAATAAAGCTTTACTTTTTTAAAAGCAGATGAATTAAAGCAAAGACTTTTAATCATTACAATGTGTGTCCCCTTGCCTCACAAAGACTGACTTTAAACAAAGTTGTAATACATACCATCCAGAAGTTATTTACATACTGTATTAATTCCTACACCTTAAAGAATTAATAAGAATAAGCTAATAAAGATGCATGAATATATATATATATATATAAATAAAAAGAAAGAGGGAGCCACTTAGCAACATATTTCCCATTAGTACTAGTGCGTAACCCTAGAGGAAAAACAATATTTCAAATGACCCTCCCTACTTGCAACATTGGCATGACTCAATCTTCATACACCATCTTGCAATTTTCCATATCTGATTCTGTACAAGACAACACATAGTAAATTCATATAAATAATATTATCATATTAAAAGTTGAAATTTTAAATTCAAGGATATTTTCACTACTGTTATATTCATACTCTGTGATCTTTTGGTCATACACGACTATCCCGACAGATTCACTAAACAACCAAACACATTGTGTTTCATTATCTTTTTGTTTTGTTTTTTTTAAGATGGCTTGTCCGTGTTAGCCAAAGCTGCCAAGATTAGGGTATGTTCACAAGAGGATAAAGTTGGGGAAAGATTCACTTGGACACACCAAGGATAACAACAGCCAGTGTTTACAGGGAGAATCCACTTTTATTTTTCCAACAGCAGTTTCAGTTGGGTGGCAGTGCATATAATACTGAAGCTTGATATGGCAACCAACAGACACTGTACCAGCCTGACGACACTTTCTGTACAGATAAAAACACCCTTCTCTTCTCACAAGTCTTCTGTTATATATCTGTGGTTGCACTACCTGAACAATGAAACATATGTTCTTTGTACCATCTGCATGCATGTAGATTAAAATAGACAACAGTATTATTTACTGCTTAAATTAAGTAGGTGACCTAATGAGAAGAGTGTTATTTATCAGATTTTACCTCAATTGAGTAAATGACTTTATCATTTCAGACAATAAGTCTTATCCCAGCCAGACCCAAAATGTTACAATCTGAAAATATGCAATATTTTTGTTAAAGCCTTTGTTACGTGTTGATAATTGTAACAAAGGAAAAAAAAATGATTTACCACAACACAGAGCTAAATCACAAACAAATATTTAATTTACTAAAACACAACATAAAATATATACAAGATAAACAGTTGTGGCCTACAAAACAGAAAACAGAATTACTGGCGAAGTGTTACGAGGGAGAAGGAAAGGGAGTCAAATATCTTTATCACTTTAGGGCAAGTGAAGTAATCTAAGTGCTATATTTGGAAATCCACGAAGGTGTGTAAATAAATATTAATTTTTTAGTTTGGTCAATGAAAATTAGTTAAAATTCTATTTACCAAATTTGTTCCATGAAATTCTCTTTTGGGTTTTTGTTGGTCGGCAACTTTTTATAGAGATTCTTTCAGCTGGATATAATAGTCCTCGAATCAAAAACCGGAGTTGATAACAGCAGAAATTCTTTTCATCAACTGACAACCCTTTTCCAAAATCCCATTTTTATAGGGGCTAACACCTAATTTGCATATTTCTAGATGTTTCTCGAATCATCTAGATTTTTCTTGAATATACTAGAATGATCTAGAATCTTCCAAACATTCTATTTCTAATTTCTCTATTTTACAACTACTTCATGAATGAAAACTTTTTTGTAATAACAAGTAGAACTCAGTGGAATCCCTTATTATAGAAATGCATCCTCATAACACCTTTCATTTTCACACTTTTCAATACTGGAATATCTAGTATCTTTTTCCTTCTATCTCAGTATTCAGAAAGTGAAAACTGTAACTCTTTCATTTTTAAAATTCCAAATACTCACCTCAATGACCAAGGCATTTTTGGCTGCAGCAATCTTCAGCTCTTGTTGCAAAGTCAATTTTTTGTTTTGCTCATCCTTTATTTGCAAATTAAGACGATCCATTTCCACTAAGACAGATTCATGACTGTGCTTCATGGTACGCAAATTCTGAAAGGAGTTTATAAAAAACAAAGAAAGATCATTAACGGTCTTCTGTAGATTCTATTGCATTTTGATGAAAAAAAAAAATATGTGAGACTAGGACCATTTTTATTCAAGTTATCCTCTATCTGACAAGTTCGAGTCACATATCTTCATGCCATAACATTCATGGAGCTTTAAATAAGAAATCAAATGGAAAAGTTACTCATTCATAACAAGCAATAATTTCACAAAGATGAATATGTAATTTCAAGGATTCTTAAATTCCACCTCATTGATTAATTAAATGACATCATGTCACTATATTAAATTATTCCTAAAGTCTTTTTCTCTCAACACTAAAAAATGCTTCTCATATTTCTTTAAGAAAATATAAAAATGAACTCTCACTGGTTACTTTAAAAAACAAAAAGATTCAAGAAATTAGAAATAAAAAAATTGACATCATACTTCTTCTATTTTTTGGTATTTCATTTGTAGGTTGATCAAGTCGTTAGACTTCTCCTTCACCTGCCTTTGTAATCGGATCAATTCAATGTTTTCTTCCACATTAACTCTACAAAATGAACAGGTACAAAAGGAGGATAGTTAAATAATTTTCATGCAAAATGTGGTTTCATGGATTTAACAACTGACAACTAAAATGTGAAAATATAATTTGTCTTTACCTTTGGTCTGCACTCATCTGTTGCTGTAATTTGATTATATTCTCTTCAAAATCTGCTTCTTTCATCTTATTCTGAATATTAAACAATGTTTTAGAAATTTATCAATTATATAACAAAATATAATGTTATAAGTTTATATTTTAGTTCCATTGTTACCCTCTTCTTGATATTGACCAAATAACTTTTTTCTTTTAATAAATTGAAAGGAATTTAATTGAAATCTTTTATTTACAATCAGAAATACACATTTTTCTATTAATAATTACTCTTAAACAAATGTTCATAGCTAACAAAAGGTAATATAAACTTATTACAAAGTAGCAAATTATTTTTTATGTTAATCATCAAAATAACTTTTTAATATATCAAAATATAGAGTAATTAATAAACAACCGATTGATAATTATCAAAAAACAAGTAAATACAATACATAAACTAATATAAAAAAAAGCTTCCGTTTATTATCTAGAAGCCATCAAAGCAACAAAAAAGGCTAAGGGACATAACTCTTATTTAATCATCACTTGTAACTTCCCTTGAGAGTTTTGCTTTATGTTTAGTTGTTTCACAACTTCAGATTTTAAGTAGATAACAAAATTTTGATTATTTGATTTAATTGTATTCTCTATTTCTAGTAAGAACGAGATAAGAACTGTAAATGCATTAAATAAAATTATGACTAAAATTAAGAATATCTACTATATTATCACAGTAATTGTATTTTCAAACATAAAAATCACAAACCTGCTCATGTAATTCTTCTACTTCTTCTTGGTACATAAAAATTTGTTTCTTCAGTCCCTCAATTTCTTCTCTAAAAGACAAAATTAAAAAACGATATATATAACTAGTGAGTAGAAATTAAGTACCCAGCGTCTTTACAAAATAGTTCATACATAAAAATGGTCTATCAGTAATGACAGATGCAACCATAAGAAGTTGTAAATGAAGTTGTGTAGTGGACCATTATGTTGACTATTGGCTTTCCTTCGCAAAATCCCGCCAGTGGTTGCCATTATGTAGTGGACTGGGGTGTGAAGATGTAAAGAAAACATGTGCATTTATATTTCCTGCTAGAAGGTCCAACTACAATAGAATGTTGGACTTGGATTAAGTCCAACTGAAGATAAGGAAGACAAACAAACAAGACCAATATATATATAAACAAATATATGTATTAAACAAAACATTTACAAAGCACATAGACAGTTAACATTGTGTTTGTGTGTGAACGTTCATATTAGTGGTGAATGTTCGTACGTATGTGTATGTTGGTCTGACTGCAAGGTCAAGATGATAATTCTCTGAGACTATATTTTGCAGAAAGAATAGAGAAGAAAGAGAGAAAGAGGCAAACTCGTCTTTGTTTTTTATAGATAATGTAATCACGTGACAGGATCACAGTGCGTTGGCGGGAAACTTGACTTAGTTACACACTGGAAAAATATATTGTGCATGGGTGGATTGCAATGCCCAATTGTGTGTTTATTGACCATTTAGAAGCTGATATTTCCTGAAAAATATTTACTAAGCTGAGAAGGCTCTTGGGATACAATTCTCCCAAAAATGCGTAAAATCAATTACATGAAAATATAGCGATTATAAAATTGTCACATAGCTGCGATTTATAAATTGTCTATTACAAAGTAGTGTTGATTTATTATCCAATGAATGCTTGTTGTTGTATAATTTGAATTTGCGTAAGTATGTATGTATGTGTGTGTGATGATGATCATAGTTTTAAATCAATAGTAAAATACCAATTTCTTGACAATTTATTAAAGGCTTTAAAAGTTTAAAATTCTATCAACAGCACTATTTCTGAAAACAAAAGCTCTTCATCCTCAGTTCTAAAATATTCTGAAACAGATTTTAAAGCGTGAAAGGGAATTCTGTTTTATAGAAATATTCAACAGCTATATCTTCATTTCAGAGTATTTCAAGTTTAAATATTCAAATATAAAAGAGAGTGTTGAAAAGTTCTCAGTCCTAACCACCTCCCAAAATTTGACCAAATGACTAAACATAAGATTTTCTTTTTGAAAGGATGTTTTTGGTTGGGCCAAAAAATTTTCAGCATACATTTGTAGAGAGCCTCAAAAAAGATAGTATACCATATTGTTGGGGCGCACCCACCTTCTAACTAGAAATGGACTGGTCCCTCTTATATAAGTCAGCTCTAGAGAGAGGGAGAGGGAGCGTCAGCAGTCCAGATAAGCTTACCCGTTACATACCGTTGGACTATAGACTTTGGATATTGTTTCGTATTAACCAACCTTCATTCTACTAATCACTCTATTGTTAATTGCTTTTACAAATATACCAGTATTTTCCTCTACAACTGTGTTTGTCTTGATTCATACACCGACACGCAGGAAACTCACAACATCTCAACACATATCAACACAGGAAAATAAATTTAAATTATTTTACACCAAGCATATCTTTATAGTAGCAGATATTAAAACAAAATAATTTAATAATTTCTAGCTTTTCTGTCATCAATTTTTGTTGTTTCTACTGAAACATAAAAAAACTTACTGAAGTCTTTCTATGACTAAATTTTCCATTAACGCAGCTGATTCAGTGTCATGCATTATTCTTTGTTCATGTCTGAAAATTTAAAAAATATAATCATTATTGATGCAAACAAAGCTCTCACCATTTTTATTTAACTGAAATATTTTAGAACAAAAATGAAAATAATCGATAAAACATATTTGATGTGCATTGAATATAAAATTCAATCATATTAATTTGCTAAATAAGTAAATGTACATGATTTCTTCATTTTTTACTTTCTAAAAAATTATCCTTTTCAATGTATTTAAAATTCCAATTACTTTAAGCCTTTTTTTATATTGGAATTCTGTCTTTATCTGTAAGAGATAGAAGCCTTGTCACAACCAAAAAGAATGACTCTTTAAAATATTTTTTTCTGAAAAATGTCACTTTAAAAAGAACAAGTGATAATTTTTTTTTAAATCTGAACATAAATCATTTACATAGAAAAATTTTGAATTCTTTATAACAATCATTTGATTCATTTAAAAAGTATCCTTTCCAGTTGATCAGAGGTTCATAGTGTTAATAAAAATGGATTGAAAAAAAAAAACTAAAAAAAACTTCACACATTGTTATTTTCTGACTATTAAAAACCTTTAAAACATTACCCATTAACATGAGGCCCCATTACTCTTCTGTTTTTCACCAGTCTCTGGTCAGAAGCAGCTTTCACAATCCCCTAAAATACAAAGTCCCACTTTTTAATTTAAAATTAGTAAACAAGAAGAGTTTCAATACATAAAAAGTATTTTAAGTAAAAGCAATTTTGTGAATGAAGAATTAAAGACAGCTTTAAAAAATGATATGTACATTCAGAGAACACAAAATTAAATTCCCTGTCAGTTCAATGAAAACATACAGAGTAATAATTCAAACTTAAATGATTATAATAAAATATTCTAAATCTATCTCGTGCAATAAAGGTCAGGAATTCTGGATATGTTGCTAACAAGATTTCATGAATTGAAATAATCATTTGCATAAAGGATTCTATTGGCTAATTTCAAATTATAAATAAGATATCCAAATCACCACTAAATACTCAATCAGTCATTTATTTGCAAAATGATTTGATCACAGATTTGAAAGTAGCTGAAAATCCAAATGTAATTTCAAGGAATTCTTTCAACAAATCAAACAAGAAAAAATCTCTTAAATCAAAAAGAAACCTTCACTTAAAGTGATTGTTATAATACTCTGAAAATAAGTGTTGACTATCTATCAACTATTGTACTTGCTGAACCAGGACTGACCATAGGAACTGAGCTAGAAATATATTTTTAAAAAAAAATTAAAAAATTCAACACTGCTAAAATTTCAATATTGTAATTAAACATACTTTTAAGGGAAACAAATAATTGTAAATGCCTGTAAACTCAATAAATGTAAAAACAATGCATCATTTATTTGGAAACAAAATAAAAATTTCTTACCGTATTTATACGTGACTGAATATGATTATAGGCAGAAGGCTGTTTGCTGGCAAGCAAGAGTTGCTGTTTGGTTAATTTCAGCTGAAACACAATAGGTTTCAATAAATCATCAAAGCTCAAATAGATTAATAGACAAAATTCATAGCATTAGTCAAATATATAAAATAACCAGAATTTACCTTCTCTTTCAATTGAGCATTTTGCCTTTCCAATTCATAGATCTTAGTTTCCAGTTCATTTATTTTAACACTTGCCAGGCTACTGCCACCAGTGATTTTGACTAGAAAAGAAAAATAAATTAACATCCAGAATTTAAAAAAATATAAATCCTTTAAGAACAATTGATTTCAGTTGTTCCAAAAATTACTTTCATGAGATGTACTGTCATAAAGATAGTGTTTAAAATATATCTATGCATTTAATACATAGAGGCTAAACAGTTTCCTCTAATCACCTACTTGTAAAAGAACAGGAAGTCATGTTCTGATTCATATGAAAAAAATATGGCATAATTAAAAGGTTTTTATTTATAGCATTTGAAATAAAAATAAATAATAACATTGTCAGCTGGAAGGCAAGACCTCAAAACTTTCCTACACTTCTAACTCTGGCAAGTTTATGTTAATTTACAAAAAACACTATTTTATGCAAAACAACTTAAAAGCTAAAATTGAAATAGTAAACATTAATACACATCTAATATCTTTTTCATTTTAAATTAAAATGCTCTTCTCACTTTGACATATACAGAACAAATGCCATCTTTTCTAATAACCATGTTGGCTCACATAATAATTTTTAATATATATTTTAACTACAAACCTTTTTTCCTCTTTATGTCTATCACATTTTATATATTTATAAGCAATAAAAAATACAATATGACACTATATGCATTAAGATGTTTGACCATAAATATAATTCTGTCTCAATGATAGGTTTAGTGTTAAGTATCATTCCATAATATATTCTTCATGTAAATTCTGTCAACTGTCCTTGTAAAAATCACAATAGCCAAGTTACAGACATCTGGACTACAAAAATGTAATGTAAGTAATACATGAGAAATAATAATTTGCCTTTATTACATATTCAGATATAATGAATGATGTTAAAGTTATTGAAGAAAATATATAGCAGTTGCACTAACATGTAAAAAAAAAATCTATTGCAAATTATCTGTATATAAATGATAAACAACCATATCTTACCTTTACCATTCGTAGTTTCTTTCCTGCGATCAACAGCCAACTGCATCACTTTTGTACCAAGCCTATGAAAAAAAAGAAAATTATGTGAAAATTTTAATAACATTTCCATCTTTAAGTGTTAGAGATGTTTTTAAAAAGGAAGAAAAAAAAGATATCCATTATAGAAGTTCACTAGTAACATTTATTCATCTTTATTTGACTGTCAGATATCATTTCAGCTCTGCTATTCACAGCATTTTTTGTTTTATTAGGTCTTGTCAACACCCCACTTGCTGAACAGGCAGGTCAATGCATTAATTCTAAGCACATCACAGATTCTGAATTCAGAGTTATTCTACTCCTAGACTGATTGTCAATCAAGGCTAGATAGCCCAGTCTGCCCTGTTATTTAACACATAGCTGGCAGGAGTAGCTGGATTCATAACTTTCCCAAAAGTATTTGTGCAAAAGTGAATGCAATGACACTGATTAGAATTCTGTGCACCAATCTCACCTTCCATGCCAATAACCACTAGGCTACACACACACACACACACACACACACACACACACACACACACACACATCTTGTCTTATTTATTACTATAACTAATCATGTTGAAAGTAGATGTGAGATTATTTGCTTCTTATTCAAGCTCTTTCTTCATGGCAAACTATCTGAAAATAAAATCTAACAAGATAGCACCAACTTTTAAAGGATTTTATTTGATACAATTCATTACACAAAATCACTAATACTTTGCCAAATCATAATTTTATAATGATTTGAAAGCAAACCTGATGTGTTCTCCCTTCTCTTCAGTTCACTTAAATAATTACCTTTGCTAACAAAGAAAACATGTTTCTTTAAAAGAATAACACTGAAAAAAATTAAACTGATTACTATTTGGAACCTTCTAAATATACAATAATGAAATCCAATAATTTTCTAAACCAAAACTTAAACAATATATTAAATATTTCAATTACAAGTTCAATATATAGTTTCCATTTCATGTTCCTATTTAGAAAATTTTTTTATCATTTTAAACATGTTATGAAGTACTCTCTGAAATAGACATCAGGTCAACAGATGGTAGCTCAACTGGTATTCGCTGTGGCATACTACTTTTATGTACATCATTTACAAACAATACTACACCTACCTTAACCAAAATGGTCTTATGCCTTTCATTGATCTTTGTCCCCCTCCTCCCCTTTATGTTCTTCACCTTCAGATTCTTCATCCATTTCCATATTCTTGGGTTACATTCATGATATTGTTATGGGAGCTACCCATTAATGCAAAGGAACTTTGTAATCTGCCAACATGTGGAATTGTCCTATAGCCCATCTTAAAATTCTAGATGTGACTTTTGGTAATTTTTTTCTGCAGTTAAATATAAACTCTAAAGGTTTGCAATATGACTTTAACAAAAATTTTCATCTTAGAAAAAAAAATGAGTTCTTTCTGTACTCCATACTACTGCTAATGCTTCTTTCTCAATATTTGAGCAGTTAGCTTCAGCTGACATTAATTTTCTTGACAGGTACATTATTAGATGATCTTCTTGAGATAAAATTGTGGCTACAGCATGTTCACTTGTATCTGTAGTCAATGTCACTTTTACAATCAGTTTTCTTATTATTGCCTTTTTTAAGCTTTCAAAAGCTATATGTCAGGTTCTTCTGAATTTATACAGTTTATTAATTTCACTGTATCTACTTTTAAAATGTCTATTTCTAAGAGTCCATGATTTTTTGTGTATTCTACAACAGTGACAAGAATAATTTCAAAACGTTTTTTTGTCTCAATAGTTCCTCCAAAGGAGCCTAGAGTTTTGATAATAAATCCAAATTGTTTTAAATTACAATTACTTTTTCCCAGAAATTCCTTGGGATCAAAGTAACATTTCCCCCAGTGTCAACCTGCATAGGAAAAGTTATGCCATTCAATTTTACTCTCTACTTTTTGCAAGTGTTCTTATCAAATATACTTCTGTATTTTCAGTATGAGGGTTTATATTTTCTCCACTTTCTATTCTCTTTATGCATCGGCACACAGATTTGAAATGGTCTTTTCTTTTATAGTTTAAACATAATTTCTTAGGGCTGGACATTTGTTTTTGTTTCTTTCATGTTCTTTAGATTTTAGTTGTGTTGTATGCTTCCACATTGTTTTTAGAATTAGTAAATTCATTAATTCTAACAAATTTACAATATCTTGATGCTTCTTTCAATCTGTGTAAATATTACCTTATGGTTTCATTTTGGTTCTATTTTCCAGAAGTTTTGTTCACTCTGCAATAACCAGTTCTTTTGTTTTTTGGTCGCATGTTTCTTTTTATAATGGCTGAAATTTCCTCATATGTTAAGTCTTCCAGTATTATAGGATACATCATAAAAAATATTTTCTTTATGGCTTCACATCCTGGTGAAGCCAAAAATAAATCAGTAATTTCATTCTCCCTTCTGGAGGCTTTCTTGTCTTTCAGTTTCTTTACCCTAGCCAACACTACTAAACATCTAATCCATATTTCTACATGCTCCAGTTCATCCAACACAGTTAGGGATCCTATTGATGACACTATATTCTTATGAAGTAGAGTACTCTTTAAAATAAACGTTGTCAGGTCAACAGATGGTAGCTCAACTGATATTCACTGTAGCATACTATCTTTATAGCAGTACCTCATTTACATACAATACTACAATACACATTAATTACTTTTACAAAACTTTCAAACACTTAAAAATGGTTGTATCTCAGAAACAAGGAGTCTATATATTTTTTTTTTTTTTTTTGTTAATGAACAAACCTTTTGAGACGATCTTCTTGTTTATGACAGTGCTTCTTCAAGTAGAGATGATCTTCATATAAACGCAAGTATCGGTCTTCAATTTCCCCCCTATCCCATGTACTGACCATCCTTCGATGTTGGCTGGACTGGTGTTCAGCTACCACTGACAAAAGAAAATATTATTTCCTTAAGTTTCTCTTGCCAATGAAAATTCAACAGTCAGGCTGTAATTCGAGATAAATCAAGAAGTTGTAATCATATTCAACATAATTAAAATATTTACAACAAATAAAAAAAAAAAACTAACATTGACATCTATTTTTTTTTTTTTCAAATAAAACAAATTTACATGCTTTTTTGAATAATAATCATGCATCATTTAGAACTAATGAATCTGATTAATTTGCACTGAAAGCTAATAAGTAAAATGGCTTTACCAGAAAAGATATTTTGTCATAATCTTTTCAGATCAAGATTAAATATTTTTCTGGTAAAGTCAGAAAATGTATTTGATTTATCCTGTCCATATGAGAAACAGTTTTTTAACAATTACATTTCTTCTCTTTTTGCTGCCAAAATTTTAAATTAGAAACAAATGATCAGTCTGCAAAGGCAATTAATGATAAGTATTTCACTATGCTACTTCAGTAAACTTTGTCAATAGCTTCTTAAATCTACATATTGTTAGTCCTTTTTTTCACTCACCTCGGTCATCACCAGTAACATTTTTACCTGGCCTTGTAGGACCAGTATCTCGAACAGGAACCATTTTTGTTTGTTCCATGGTTATTTTTGCTGAACCAAAAATAAATTCAAGCAGAGAATCTAAAATTAGAAAAGAGGATGATCAAAATCTGAAGAGGAGAAATAGTAAAAGTTCAGAAAAAATTAATCAGCAACATTATTAAAATAAAACATAGATTAATTTTCTAGCAATAAAATCATTAAAATCCACAGAAAGAAATGTTTTTCCTGAGAATTTTCTATACCCATCACAAACTTTCTTTTGAAAAGGAGCTTTTCCAGTATCATTCAATGAATGTAATATATTTTGTCAAGTTCAATGATCTTAGGGCCAAAAATGATAGAAATGTATGTTAAGGAATGGAAAAATACTGATTTTGCACTTATCGCAAACACTCAAAAAGTGCTTGTGTGGCTTGATGTGACATTTCTCCAGGATGTGAATCAGGCATTTTAATACTCACTTTATAACACTTATCCATAAAGTTCATTTCACCAGATTGACAAGCTTCTAAGCTTCTATACAAACAGCCTTAGATAAAAAAAAAAATACTGTGGAGACATACAAGGAGATGCTGAAAAGTTCTCCACCCACTTCCTAAAATCTGACCAAAGATGAGAATCGTTTTTAATCCCTTTTTTGTTGGGCTACGATTTTTGGCATCCTTGTATCAACACAAGCAGTAACATGCAACAATTCAAGATTGGGTAAATAATATCAATTCAGTATAATTGTTACTTCTAATACACCTAACAGAAGCATATAACAAATCTCAATCTCAGGAAATCTACTATAATCAGATTTGAATAATCATCAAGTGTTTCTCTAACAATAGACTCCACAGAACCAGACAAATTACAATGTGAAAGTCTTAATACAGAATATACATGCATATTTGCTTCTTTGTTTCTATACAGTCATTTTATCTTCTCATTTTATACAAATAACACAATTCAATTTATACTTCCCAGTAATTGACAACTTCAAGTTTGATGACATCTGTCACATTACCATGAACAAGAATTTTATGCCATTCTTTTAAATGATACAATATATTCTTTAAAGAAATTACAGTCAAGAAAATAAAAGCAATCATTTCTCCCAACATTAAGTTAGCCTTGTGCTGAGTTGGAACAACCAGAGATAAAACCTGACCTACTTCATAGGTTGAGGTTTTTGGAAGACATGTGCAAGCACCATGAATCAGAAAGTGAGAAGAGAGTTCAGCCGTCAGTGGATTGGGTAAATTAACATTATCCACTGTGTGCGTAATTACCACATAGTTCATATCTTGAAGCAGGAATTGCTTGCCTTTTTATAGGTTTCAACAACACCTAACATTTTCTTTTTAAACCAAATGTGGTAATCATATTTCCAGTTCCTTTATTTCTTTTTCCTTATTATTAATTATTATTATTTATCAATTTTATTTCATTTTCCCAGGTTTCTGTCCTGATTTTCCACACACTTGCTCCATCTGTCTTTCTTTAATCTCTATTCTTTCCCTTTTCATTTTTCTCTGCTTTTTATAATTACCCTCTACCTTTCTTCCTTTACACCTTCTTTTCTACTACCATTTTTTTTGTTTCTCTCTAGTTTCCTTACTTACCTTTCTTCTTTCACTGCTTCTTTTTCCCAGCTTCTTTTCTTTTAATTTCTTAATTCTCTTGTCACATGCAAATGAACAGATAGGCAGTTGATATTGTGCATGTGTATAATACTTTTTCACAGAGCGCACATATATTTAACACTGATCCAAGGCAGAAGTGTCATAAAGTAACATTTTAATCATTGCATGGATCCTAAGCAGAAGTGTCATACTGTACATCAGTGATCATGTCATTTATGACGGGTATTACACTCAGTAGTAATGTATTGTTTTTATATATTGTGCTAAGAATTCTTTTTACAATTTAGTTTTTTTTTTTTTTGTTTGTTTTTTTTTTTTTAAATTAAATGAATGTGTAACAACTCAAAAATCTCATTTATCAGACTGGTAAATAAATTATTTCGACTTTTTTAGTTTCATTTAAAATTAAATTTTCTCTGCTATTTTTTCAAATTTATTTTATTTATTTTAGCTACAGAACCTATTAAAATATAAATTTTAAATATTTTATTACGAACTAAAAAAATATTGATATGATAACGATACAAAACAAATAAAAATTATCGGAGTTAAAGATAAATTTTCAATGTAAAAGAAAGAACATAAACATCCGAACGGTGGAGGGGGGGATTTGTTTATTGGATCGAAGCTAAAGATTCAAAATTACTGTGTTGTAGTTGCTTGAAAATAAAATAATAAATATATATTTTTTTAAATCCCTTCAGTATTGTTCACTAAACGTAAAAAAAAAAAAAAAAAGAATTTAAAGATGCATTTTTAGCGTACTACAAACAACGTCTTTAAAAAACTAAAAAGTGTTTTAAAAACTTTTTAAAGTATTTTATGGCATTGTATGACAGATTATTCAAATATTAACTTTTTCAATAGTGTTTTATTTTTTTATTGCCAATTTAAAAAAAATTAAATGATGCGATTTATTTTGAGATGTTGGATAGACGATCGGATAAACTTAAATATTATTTAAATATTTTAAACTTTAAAACTTCTTTTTAATCACAAAAATGTACGCTAACCCTTTAAAATAAAATCCCTGAATATAAAAATGCACTTTTGTCGCATATGAAAACTTTTGCAAAAAATCAATTAGTTTTCTTTTAAAACTTTTAAAAACAAAAGAGTCAAAAGAGCCACCTATTAAAATTAGAATAACTTAAATGACAAACCCGAATGGAGAAAAATGTTTTAGAATATTTTTCATTGTTGTATTTACAAGCAAAAATAACTAAATAGTGTTTTATTGTTTTTATTCGTTAGTTTTCTTTTTTATATTATTTCAAAAACTTGACGCCGCCATATTTACTTTCTGTAACTAAGGTAAACTAATTTTCAATCTCGGCATGTCATTCATTAATTTAAAAAACACACCCACGAAACTTCGAATAATCCCCTAAAATATAACATATTATCACATAATTGAATAATTTAGAATGATAATTTTTTCTCACCGTTTATTTTCTTAAAAATCAGTTTTTCATGGTTCAATCCCAAAAGAATAGCGATGTTATTACAAGCCGAAACGTAAACAAGTGCCTGTTGCTTACCAATAACAAAAGAGTTTTTAAAGGGAGATAATCGACGTTCAATTTTTTTTTTTTTTAATTGCTCTTTAGTGCTGTGATCAAGATGTTAACTTAGTATACTCTTCCTTTCTGCGTGATCTGATGTTCCAAATATATGATGATATAAAAGTAACAAATAAAAAACTTGGACATTTTTACTTTAATGCTCTTTTTACGATTTGTAATAAATTTAATACACTACTGTTTATAATGCATTTTGTTAGTTAAGAAAAACAAACTGTATTCAAATTTTGGAAACTCACTTTAACCCACTTAGCAGGAGGAGGGTTTTTTTTTGTTTGATGAGTAGGGGTAACGGTAGAATCGTCCGGAGAGGAGACTTGTCCGTATCATTACGAAGTGCTTTTGAATTGTGACTATGGTTTGATGGATAACTCCACCGGATATAAATGCTTGTGTGAATGGATATTATTCACATTTCCATCCCCTTTCTTAATCTCAACAGGCCGAATGTTATTATCATCACCCGTAATCAGGCTTTGAACTCAAGACCAATAAGGTCTGGATTTGGTAGGATTTCTTATGAATGTACTGTACTACATCATCAATCTTTTTAATCATATTTTCAAAAAATCCTTACACTGTGCCCTCAAATCCAAGAGATACTGATACCATATAAAAAATACCTATTCAACAAATAATCTCTAGTTTCCATGGACTTAACTGTTATGTTAGACATATCCAAATACGGTGGTTAAATTGAAATAAGGAAGGTCCACAATTTATGGGAGAAAAATTATACACGTATTTATTTATTGAAGATTATTAACATAAGAGAGAAGGAAAAAGTAGAAAAGTAATTTCAAAAGGGAAAAGTTCCAAATGCACAAATCATGATGTCAAATTTTATCTTTAACACCCCCTTTGAAGTTTGCATCCTGATAATTTGGGTTTTACTGAGTCTAGGCGGGTTTTTGTCAGGGTTTAGTGAAGCAGCCTGCTGTATTCTCTTCGGTTGGCACATAGTTTAGTTGTATTGTACCATCGTTAATTTTGTCCTGTATAAAATTATATTTTATGTGTTTTACCCGTTGACTTGTAATAGGATTTTTCGCTATGCAAATTGCGCTCTGATTATCCGAATGTAATATTGCTTGTTTCAGTTCCTTTGTGCAGTTCATCTCGTTCAGCAATTGCAGGAGGTATTTTGCTTCCTGTACGACTGGCGTCATCGCTACATATTCAGCCTCACACGTAGATAAAGCCACAGTAGGCTGCATTTTACTCTTCCAATAGATAACTGGTCCTTGTCTTGTTCATTTAGGGAGAAACAATATCCGGACGTACTTTTCCTGTCTTCAGAGCTTTCCCAATCAGCATCAGTAAATCCTGTTAATTTCAGGCAGCTTTTACAAAATTTAATAGTTCTTTTCAAATATATCAATACATGTTTTGCTGCATTCCGGTGTTCTATTGTGGGGTTTTGGTTATACTGGGATAATTTATTTACGACCCAGGAAATATCAAGCTTGGTACAAGTTGATAAATAAATTAAGCTTACTATAGTCTCACTATATTTTGTAGGGTCAAAGGCTTCAGCTTCTTTAGAAAAAATAAATTTCTGTTCGCAGGGCGTTGATCTGGGTTTGAAGTCTAGCCTGTTGAATTTGTTATAAAATAAAATAAGACATATCTCGGCTGATTTGCAGGCAAATAAACTAACATACTCAAGAGCGAGAGCCGGATGTGAACGGGACAAGGCCCCGTCACAAAATGACCATTATCGTTGTTTGCGAATAAGCCCGACGCACGAGTTCCGGTCGAAAAATAAAATATTTTAAAGTGTTTCTATTTTTCGACCAATAAAAATGCTTCCCTCCTAATTATACTCGCGTCGTTTTTCGAGCCTGTTAAGCCATAAAAAAAAACGCCATAAAAGGGGTCACACGGTGAAGTACAACAGCAGTCAACAGGAGGCCAGGGAAGAGACCTGTCACGGTCAGTCAGCAGCAGTCAGCAGGAGAAGCGCCACGCCAACTAGTGAGAACTACTATGAGAGATCAACCCAGATCGGGAGCCGGTTTATGAACTATACCACACGGTAGCTGTCCCAAAACCACACGTTCCTATTGAAATAAATCACGTAAATCTATTTCTGCTGTTGTCGTATTTCTTTCTTGCAACCATACGCTTGTCTATAACAAATTTTTCTAGTACTTTCTCAGTATACGACCGTTGGTTCATTTCTATTTCATCAGATTTGATTATAAAGTCTCTACACCAAGGAATCGTGAGATCTGCCTTAAGTCCTTCATGTCAAACCTTTGCATGAGTAGAGTTTTGACTTCCCTTAAAATGTTCAAATTATTGGCGGCAATCAGAATATCATCAACCCATACGAGAAGAGTAATAATTTTATTTTCACCAACCCTCACAAATATACATCTGTATCTATAAATGGCATTCTGTTAGTGTGTCTGTGTGTTTGTCACCTTGTTACCTCATCCTGAGCAAACCGTTCGTCCGATTGGCATGAAAATTCACACACAGATCGGAAATTTACGGCATTCGTACTTGACATCTTCGGATTTTTCGATTGTTCCTCCGATTTGGGAAAAAGTCGATAAAAACGGTAGGGAGTCGAATATTGATACGAAAAAAATTTATCAGTTTTTCAGTGATAGTTTTCACAAATTACAAGTGATATCCACCAAACTCACGTTGAGCAATGTCCTTACTTGTAGTTTTGAGGTGCTGTTCTTTGTTTTTAAAAACTGATATCAGTTATTGGAAAAAACCGATAAAATCGATCACTTTGGGACATCCGATTCAAATCCAATGTAGCTGATTTTTGGCTCTGTCTTTCGAAAACTGCAAGGGATTTTCACGAAAATAATGTGGAGCATTAGTTTTATCAACAGTTATTAGTTGCTGACCTTTTTCTTTAATATCGGTATCAATTATCGGAAAAAATCGATAACATCATGCCACATTTGACTTCCAATTCAAATCCAGTCAAGCGGATTTTTGGCTATATTTTTCGCAAATGGCGAAGAAATTCCACCAAAATTACGTTGAGCATTGATTTTATCAACAGTTATGAGGTGCTGACATTCATTTTCAATATAGATATCAATTACTGGAAGAAATCGATACAATCGATTACTTTGGGACATCCGATTCAAGTCCAGTCTAGCTGATTTTGGGCTATATTTTTCGCAAATGGCGAAGAATTTTCAGCAAAATTCCCGTTGAGCATAGTATTTACCAACAATATTGGGGTGCTGACTTTCGTTTTCAATATCGGTTTCAATTATCAGATAAAATCGATGAAATCATACCCCTTTTGATCGGTATCTCATTGGCTGAGTGCAGTACGCGGTCGCTGATTGGTGTTCGAGACCCTAGGACGCTCGCTGATTGGCACAACCGATTGGTCAGTAATACTTCACATTTGAACCTGCTGTGCACAGCTGTGGAACGAAGGTCTCACTTCTGCTCCTGTTACGCCGCCATCCGGTTGATACGATAGTCTCCTTCAACTGATCATTTCTCCTACCGCAAGTTGTTTCTTACGTTTTTGTTTTCCGTTTGTCTGTTTAACTACATTTTTCCAACTACCATAAACAATTTATTCAGCTGTTTTTCTTAAATACCTGCCTTCACGATTCTGGCTCACGCTTTGCGATACTAAGTTAGACTTTGTACTCCAGCAATTGAGCAATCCTAATCAACCACTACTAGCATCACTTTTCTCCATGCCGCCAAAAAGGAGGGTACGTCTTAGTCTTCGGTCTGCAAGAGCGTCCGCTATGGGGGTAAGAAGGACCGCGAGTCCCAGGAGCAGACTACAATGCGACTATCACAGGTCGCTTAACGCAACGCCCTCACGCAGGCCTCGCAGTCACAAGAGGAGCGTGCCACCTGCTTGGCTGGGAAAGCTGCCTACAGGGCTTCGTTGCGATCAAGGCTCAAGAATGCACAACGGTCGAGAATGAACGCACAGGCTGCAGCAACCACCTCTGCATCTCAGGCTTCCGAGACTCATCATCAAAGGCTTCTTGGTAACGTAAGAAACTCTGCTTCCACTGCGAAATCAAGGGCAATAGAGACACCTGTTCGCAGGCGCGCCCGTCAATCCAGGAACGCTGCTGTAACAGTGAGAGCTAGGGCTGCTGAGACACCCCTCTGTAGGTCTGTGCGAAATGCTAGGAATGCTGCCACAACTGCCAGGTCGAGGGCAGCTGAAACATTCGACCGGGACGCGCCCATCAATCCAGGGACGCTGCTGCAACAGCGAGCGCTAAGGCTCCTGAGACACCGCAACGTAGGTCTGTTCGAAATGCTAGGAATACTGCCACCACTGCCAGGTCAAGAGCAGCTGAAACATTTGACCGCAGGCGCGCCCGTCAATCCAGGGACGCTGCTGCAACAGCTAGGTCGAGAAGTCTGAGACAGAGCTGCAGCGGGCATCTCGAAATGCCTGCAACGCTGCAGCAACTTCTGCTGCCCATAGACAAGAGCAAACAGACTTTCAAGGGCTGCTACAAACATGGCCGCTGTGCGCTTATCTCAAACTTTCCAAGCTCGCCGCATACACCTCGACGGCGACATTCAGCGCCTTGCTGCCGCTCGTGATTTTACCTGTCCCAGTAGCTCTTTTTGGTCTTTCTTGGCTTTCAATTACCACCCCGGCATTAACTTAACTACGCGTGACGACATCAATGTAGGGTCCATGACTTGCGTTTGCCAATTCTGCAACGCCCGCAAATGGACCGGGGAGCCTGCCGGTTTGTGCTTCTCCTCCGGCAAAGTTTGACTGCTACCTCTGCATGAATCACCTACCCCGTTGAGCCGGCTCCTATCCCAACTCCAACCACTTCCTTAAAACAATTAGGCAATACAACTCTTTTCAATGACCTCATTTGGGGCTCAGGCGATTCGAGAAGAGGGTTGGATGCCCACTTTCAAAGTACAAGGTCAGTTATACCACCGCACTGGGTCTCTGCTGCTTGAGGAGACCTCTACGCCTAAATTCCTTCAACTGTACTTTATTGAAGACTACAACCTACAGGCCAAAACCCGGATTGGTATTTTGCCGGCGGCGGGAAGAGTTCCTCGCAGGGACGTCATACTACTACTTCAGTCCATGCTTCAGGAGGTTAACAGCTACATACGCAGTTTCAAATATGCTTTAGAAAATGCTCCCTTTCCTTCCTTCATCATTGTAATTGACGCCGACAAACGGCCTCATGATTAACACGAACACCGCTACAATGCTCCTGCGTGCAACGAAGTGGCCGCTATTATACATGGGGAGCAAGATCGCACTTGTGATATTGTCCTCAATATTGTCTTCGCAGGATTTCAGAGACCCATCGATCATATGATGCATTGCAGTACCCTTTACTTTTCCCTCATGGTGACGATGGCTACCACTTCGGCATTCCCCTTCATACTCAGGGTGGCCAACCTACAACATCTTCCAAAGCCTTATTCGTGCAAGGCCTTCTACTCATACCGTTTCATGGTTAGAGATGGAGACTTCAACCTGCTTCATAGATGCAGGGAACTTTTCCACCAGTTTGCTGTTGACATGACCGCTAAGATGGAATTGGAGAGGCTTTGTTTTATACGGAATCATCAGAAACAGCTGCACTCAGACTCCTACGTACACTTACGCGACAGCCTTCGAAATGAAGTCAATCCCCGCGACCTAGGGAAGCTGTGCATTCTGCCCTTTACCTACACTGGGGGCCGCATTACATGCATGAACGCACGCAGGACGCTATCACATACGTTAGGCAATATGGGCGGCCAGACTTATTTATAACGTTTACCTGCAACCCCAGATGGATTGAGATAACGCCTGAACTCCCAGACATGACATTACCGCCCGCGTATTCCGCTTAAAACTGGGAAAACTTATGGACTTAATAGTGAAGGGCGAGTCCTACAGTGAAAACGTAACCACTATTTTACATTGCTAGAATTAAAAATCTTGACTGATTATGAACTGGTGGCAGTCTTCGGGTAAGCACGCAGCAGCAACACAGCAGCCACCTGCTACCGGTTGCCCTTGATCTCATTGATTTTGATCAGGAGATTCCTTTCAGTGACCTTGCGGATACATGCGTTTCAATATTCAAACCTCAAAGCAATTTAACTACAAAACGCCGGGCTTTACTGCTAGTTGGTCGATAAAGATTTGATTAAAATTTTCCTATAGAAGTTCTTTACTTAGTAGATCGTTCCAATTTTTACCAATCTTTTTTATTCT